GTACTCAACTGTTAAGAATATTGGAAACTGAAATGGATAATTTGGGTTACTAGTCCTTGCACACTGCCCCTGTATCACAAACACTGTGTATGGAATGACTTGAGTGATGCACTGGTACTCGTCCTGCTGTCAGTGAGCCGGGGTATCCATATACAGTCAAATCCCGATGTGTCGAATCTCTGGGGACCAAGTCATAACTTCGACTTATCGATGTATTCAAGACATAGGTATGTCTATGAGGGTAGACAAAAAAGATGATCCAGTCCTAATTCCTCCGACTAAGCATTTGTTTATCTAATGATTTCCCTATCACTAATAGGGGCACCTTATCAGTTCCAGTCTGATTAGCACAGACAGTGATTTCCGTAAAATCACTAATCTGCCTTTTGAACTCACCCGTCAAAGGCGGAACGGTGTGAGCCGCGCTGGTTTGTTAATTGGATCAGTTTGCTACACCAATCAACTTCTCATTGACTGACTTCGGCTTATATATACAAGATTGCTGTTGTTTGAATCTCATGGGACCAAATTTTCTTCGAGTCATCGTGTGTATTTATGAGACGAATTCGTGTAACCGGTGTTCAAATGATGACAACTATAACAGGGAATGGTCGGGACCGACAGGTACTTCGAGTTATGCATAATATTCGAGACAGCGGCATTCGACTCATCGGGATTTGACTGTATATATATGAGGTGTGTGTATTAGTGGCAATACACCTTGAGTTATTGGATACAAGCAAAGAAGCAGGGTGTCCATCACTGTCCTGCTAAACATTAACATATATAAGATTACAGGAATTTCAGTAAAATTTCAGCACTCCAAGCAACTCGATATCTATTATTATATCATAACATCGCCAAAACGAAAGACAATTTTGTCCTGAGCGACAGAGTGGCAAAGATCAAACTTAGTTCCAACATGAATGAAACTAAAACAATTTTGATATAAAGGTACAATATGTAAAAGACATCTGGAGTCCGCACAAGTCAATCAGGTTAGCTCTGCACAGTGTGTTTATAAATACTACCTATAGTTCCATCTGGAAATGGATCAGGGGAGCTAACTGAAGTGGGGCACTTAATACGGCAATTACAGTTCAGTTGTAAGTGGATAAATGTAGTTAGGGATAACAGATACACCAAAGTAAACATGATTCCACATAAATAGATGACTATTTTTACTTGTTTTTTTAACAAAACATTTTCTAAAATTGAATTTCTATTCAGAATGTGTTCTATTCAGGGCCTGAATCATGCAATTTGTAACAGAATTTCTTCCTTTTGAAATTATATTCTTGCAGAAAATACATGCATGTAACAAGCAACATTCCTTGCATGAATAAGAAATAATTTGAAGATTTTGTCACTGAGTCATAAGGGACCTGTCATAATTTATGGCTGGAGGGGTGATGATGATTTTTATGGCAAACATGTACAATGTGAATGACCCCCTAAAATTTACATACAACGTAAGTGACCCCTCATGCATGTCATGTATGAAATCAATGATCCCCTTCACATTTTTTTTAAGAATAATTTTTAAATATTTTTATGTACCAAATTGCTGACACCCCTCGTACATGTGTACAAAATTGATGACCCCCTACCTCCCCAGAACAAATTGGGTGACCCCCTTTAAATCATCATCATCACCCTAGCCATAAATCATGAACAGCCCCTAGCCATAAATCATGAACAGTCCCTTAGAAGTTCACAAGCTATGTACAGGATGACGTGGTGTCTGCAGTGGTGGACACCCTGCATGGTGAACAAGATGAGATCGGCAGACAGAGACAGGCAGTTCCTTGAAGCTCAGCCTAACCAGCATTAACTAGGTTGTACATGATGGGAGTTTTAAAGAGAAGAACATTCATACAGATAAAGAGAAAACATTCACCAATTAAAATTAGAAGTTGAGAGAGGACATCAAAAACACATGAAAATCAATCAAAAAGCGGAACAATTTCATGCACTATTGTGGAAGGGCATTCTATTCAAGGTCCAAACCTCTCTGGCCTCAATCTGGGACAAGCAGATTTGGGGGCGCAATTTCAAACCTTAAATATGAAGGTGAAGGCCAAACGTGCAAACATGACTAGTATCTAAGTAGATGCAACATACCGAGTTTGACCCCGTGTTGTTTCAGGGACGTGACATGATCTGGCCAGGTAGGTGTGCACCCATTGACACCTAGAGACACACGGTGAAACCACAGTCAAACCCAGCACATCAGTATATATACAGCAGTGGCATATAAACATATCAACATGAAACTTGACATAACTTTTGTCTCTTGTTCGTAGTCTGATGCCGCACTCAGCAATATTCCAGCTATATGGCAGCAGCTTGGTAAAGTAGACAAGACTAGTGAGTGAGTTTGGTTTTATGCCGCTTTTAGCAATATTCCAGCAACATTATGGCGGGGGACACCAGAAATGGGCTTCACACATTGTACCCATGTTGGGAATCGAACCCGGGCCTTCGGCATGATGAGCAAACGCTTAAACCACTAGGCTACCCCACCGTCCCTAAAGAAGAGTAAGTGAGGCAAGCAAGTGATTGATGTTATGAGCAATGACCCACACTAGGTGTACACTGACATGCTAGGAACCAAGTCACCGTCCGACCACCCTATACATTTAGTTGCCTCTTACAACTAGGCTGCCGGAATCCCGAAAGCGAGCAACTGACGCACGATGGGCAACACAGGAAAAGATGTTTAATGACTTGGAGGGTGATAACTGTCAGCAATATCGCAGCTATATACGGAGGTCGGTGAGACAACATGCCTGGGTACAGACTGAACAACACCATTGAAGTACAATGTATGAGTGAGTGATGGTCAACACTGGAGTTTAACCGTCACATGGATCTGCAGTTTTCAAAAAACAACAACAGGGCATCTGGAGTTGGTGTGAGGGAGCCCTGAAGAATTTCTGGTCTTTCATGTTTGGTTTGTTCTAACTTGAATTGTGACAAAGGCCCCTTTACTTCTGTACTGTATTTCAGGTATTGGCAGTAAAGCCAGGGGTTGATAACACGAACAACAATCCATGTGGTTGGGCTTAGTATGAATACTGGGGAAAAACCATTAAAAATGACAAAGTTCTATTTTCTGTTTTTTCATACATCAAGTTATGAAAGTGTTACATAAAACAATAGGGGGTGTCAGTAAAATATCTCACATCAGGTGCACATGTACTCTAGGGATGGTATAGCCCACTCTAATGTGTGCAAATGGCTGTTCTAGGAACTACTGACAATAGGAAACCAAAAGATGTAAAACTGAAGACAGATAAGAACAACTCACAAAGGAAACAAACACAAAGATGAAGATTGTCATTTCATAACTTTACTCAAAAGAGTAATATGTTTAAATGACATCGCAGTTAGGGACCGTTCATAATTTATGGCTAGGGGTGATGATGATTTTAGGGGGGCACCATTTTCTGTGGAGCTGGGGGTCAGCAATTTTGTACACACGCATTACTAGGGGTCAGCAATTTTGTACATAAAATTATGTTTAAAATTATGCTTAGAAATTATGGGAAGGGGAGGGGGGCTCATTGATTTTGTACATGACATTCAGGGGGGATCACTTATTTTTTACACACATTTTAGGGGGGTCATTCACATTGTACATGCTTCTCCACAAAAATCATCATCACACCCCCTAGCCATAAATTATGAACGGTCCCTTAATGTTTAATCTATTCCTGTTCCAAGACATGGCAGACATATCATGGCCGCCTGAACTGGCTGTATATAGCTTAGTCTTGGCACACAAACTAGTGGTTGACATTCTGAACACACCAATGATGGTGCTACAATGACAACATGCTGGAGTCATCAAGCCTGACATTGTCTCTTATAAGTATGAACAGCTGGATGTCAAACCAAGAACCTCGAAGATTCTAGACACTGATGGAGTGTTACTGATCCTGCTATAGTTATCCTGATTTTCTGATCACCCAAATACAATTTTACAACCTATACTCCTGCACAATATCTATCCAGTCACACAATGCTAAGGTCTCAGTTTAACCTGGTGTTGACCAACTGAATTCTCAGCTGCAGAGATATCTCCAGTGCTCATATACTTAAACAAGTGATTTATCTAGGATACTAAACCAAGTGGTATTTTAACATGTCTGAAGATGTTTAAATAATGAGTATTTCAGCTTATTATTGACCCCATTATCAGTTACTCCTACAAACCTATAACATTTGTTATTAGTTACGACTAAAATCTTGATCGGGATAATCAAGTTTTCATTGTATTTCAAAACGAAGTTCAATATTTCTAATTCCAATCTGGGAATGTTTAATGTGACTTGCTGCAGATATAGGGCCAAAATATCCGCCTCAGAGCAGATCTACATAAATCCCTGAAAACAAACACAGACAGCTACAGGTTAATTGAGATGATGAGTTGGCCAAATGTGTGAAACCTATTCATGTTGTTCCCATGTGTTGTTCCAATGTGTTGTTCCCATCAGTCATGGCTCTGAGCAGCAGATTCTCATGCTTGTCCTCGACCCTCTCAACACCCAGACCCCTGATTCCCCTTGTTGAAACTGAGACACCATACACTGAGCCAGGCCTAACATTCTGTCCATCTAACTAAATGAAACTGTCCACAATAACGCTATTTATTCCACTGCATGAGTACAAAACCACATGTGAGTGAGTAAGTGAGTTTAGTTTTACGCCGCACTCAGCAATATCCCAGCTGTATGGCGGCGGTCTGTAAATAATCGAGTCTGGACCAGACAATCCAGTGATCAACAGCATGGGCATCGATCTGCGCATTTGGGAACCGATGACATGTGTCAACCAAGTCAGTGAGCCTGACCAACCGATCCCGTTAGTCATCTCTTACGACAAGCATAGTCGCCTTTTGTGACAAGCATGGGTAGCTGAAGACCTATTCTACCCTGGATCTTCACGGGTCGTTTCACCCCATGAGACATACAGCTACAACCAATGGTCCTTACCTGCTTCTATGGACCCTGACCACCGGTCAACCATCCTCTCAATGACCACCTCAAACAGCTCATTGTCTCTCAATGGACGACTGCTCATCACGATTGCATCGTTGAACTCTCCGGTAGCGTTTGGTCTGGCGGCAGTCTTGCCGTTGTTGAGGACAGTTGCATTGTGGCCGTGCAGGTGGTGGAACCGAACATCATCAACATCGGTGAACACACTGGACTCGAGGTCAGGAGAACTTAGCACTTCTGCAACACACACAATTAATTTGCTCTTGTCAGTTTATTGTTTGAAGTGACACTCAGTAATTTTCCAGCTATACAATTGTGGTCTGCAAATAATCGAATCTGGGGCTGACAATCTGGTGATTGAGATCATGAGCATCGATCTACACAATCTGGTGATTGAGATCATGAGCATCGATCTACACAATCAGGATTCGATGACATGCATCAAGCAAGGTAGCGAGCCTGACCACCTGATGCCATTAGTTGCCTCATACAACAGGCGTGGGTTGCTGAAGACACAGACGAACACAGGTTATCAGTATAGTTTGTTGTTTAACGCCTCTGTGTACAGATCAATGTAATGGATCAATATTTGGTGAACTACAGCTGATACAATAACTGTGATGAGGGTCAAAGGACTGTACTCTTTTTCCTTACAATGCTGTATTTCAAGGGCAACTTGTAACTGGAATATTGCTGAGTGCTGCGTTAAACAAACAAAACAATTGAAGGGCAATTGTAACATGACTATCTTAGATAAAATTTTGATCAGATCAAATTAAGCACCTTCCTGAAACAGCTCATTTTATAACTGTGTGCTCATTACTATATTCAAGCTATCCTGCTCACACCATGTAGCAATCGATCGTCAGCTCTGATGGCGTAGTGGTTATGATGTGAAAATCATATTGTGTGGAAGGTCTGAATGGCGTCAATCCCCGCAGTTCAGATGCTATATGGGAAACAGCGAAGCGGCCCGGCTGATAAAATATGGTACTTGTTGGTCCCTGCCAATGAGCTCAGACACAAAAGGGTACAAATGTGGACTGGTTGGTTTATTTTGTGTTTACAATGTATAATGTGTCTGGCCAATTTCGGGGTATTCATGCTTCACTGCGGCATGGTATCTCAGTAGGAATTGAAACCTCCGAGCTAGCACTATAAAACCAGCTTCAGTCTGGGCTAGTACAAGCAGCCGCACAAACACATACACACGCATGCACATCGTCATATGAGCGAAATATTCTCAAGCACGACGTTAAACCCAATTCCACCACCACCCCCATATGAGCAATCTAGCTCTACATATACACTGAAAACACAGTATGTTTATCTCTCAATTATCAAGGCCTCCTTTCATACCAATATTTGGCAGGAGCATCACAGAATAAAATGCATGAGTCATGCTTATGTTATGTCCCCACCTGACTGGTCCACTATTGTAGCCTGTGCTGCTTGACCGTACAGGTCAATGACCCCATATACCATCTCAGGAACACTGGATGCTGCTGGACCCTGGTCAACTCCATTGACAAAGAAGTGCAACGTTCCATCTGGTTTGCGGACGACGCCCACTCTGTCTCCCACCTGGCATAAACAGCATCCATGTATTATGTATGTGTGGTACTCACGTGGGGTAGTGTCTGATGCCGTTGGTACTTGAAGCATCAACATATAGACATTATGTACCTGTACAACTTGCATATCTAGACTCAAGTGAACAGATATTTGTGTTGACAATTTGAAATAAATTTTAGAATCAATTTGATATAGGTATCTGGTACCATGGCAGGAATGTTTGAGTGGAAATGTTTATTACAAGACTTAGCTGGAAGACAAAATTGCCATTAAAATAACCTTATCACCAACAACACACAACCAAAATGGAGGACAGAAATCCCATGCAATATGAAATGTATTTTGTTGCAGAAAGTGGTGAAAGTATCTGATGTAATGACACAAAGCCTGCTGTCAAACTTATCTCAGTAATCCATTAGTATTTAATTACAATAGTATTTCAAATGTTTTAGATACGATATATTTTCAAGAAGCAATAAAAATAACATACATCTACCTTTAAGCGATCCAAGTTTTGACCATATTCATCAATAATGGTTGTTCCGTTGTGCATGACGCCGTTCCCAGTCATCATCCAGGTGCCGGAGCGCATGTTGGTCATAGTGGAGGGGTAGTCTAGTTCCTCGGGGGAGTGTAACGTCACCCCGATCTCAATAGACCCCGCCCACTTGTCAACCATTCTCTCCAGTCGAACTTCGAAAACTTCATTGGCACGCAAACATCGATTTGTGAGCACAACACCATTGTTGAAGTCATCTAGAGCACTAAAACACAGACGACAGTGATGCAGTGAGGAGAAGGGCTGGGATTGTCAGCTGCATCAGCAATCATACAGCTTATCAGGAGTGAGAGACCATGAGCACTATATTAGCTGTGCTGGCTTCCCTGTCTTCAATATCAATAATCAGTGCTCTTAATCCACTTTGTCCATTACCTATCAGTACTGGCCTCCCTGTCTTCACTATCACCAATCAGTGCCATTAATCCCCTTTGATCATTACCTATCAGTGCCGTTAATCCCCTTTGTCCAATACCTATCAGTACTGGCTTCCCTGTCTTCACTATCACCAATCAGTGCCATTAATCCCCTTTGACCATTACCTATCAGTGCCGTTAATCCCCTTTGTCCAATACCTATCAGTACTGGCTTCCCTGTCTTCACTATCACCTATCAGTGCTGTTAATCCCCTTTGTCCACTATCTGAGCTGGATTACCTATGTAAAGTAAACTGGTAACTAAGAACTCCAGTGTCAACTTACTTCGGCCTGTGAGCAGTTCGGTGGTTGTTGATGACGGCAGCATGAGCTCCACAATGTGCGTTGAACAGCAGCTTCTCTCCATCTTCTTCTGTGGGGAAGGTGATATGTGAATAGGTATCTCAGATTGGGAAATGTGTATTTATCTTTTTTGCTGTTGCATGGTTCAAGATGGCAGTCTTTACACATGCTACGAGGTGAACTGCATCACACAGATATCGTAAACACTCAGATGGTGGTTTGTGTTTAAGATATTATTTTCTTTCATAAGTTAGTGACATGTTTTACAGTTGTTCATTTGAGTACTGAGAAAAGATCGGATATTCTTAAGCGAAACCCCATAACATGAGGATACATTATCTAAGTTTGTCCCACTGTCTCCAGAAAGTGAGATGTAAATACATTATCAAAGCAAGTCTCACAGTCTCCACAAATACAAAATCATGACTTGATATACAAAACAAGAAGACAAAGTCATCAATATCCCCCGCAATGGAAAAATACTCTTCATGATTATGTCTACAAGTTATGATTATGTCAAATATTTAGGTGTGTATATAGAAAAATGGAAGGAGAGTATTGAAAGGTTTTTTAAAGTTCTGCTCCAGAAAGCAGCACTATCACCAATTTCAGGCTAAGTCAAACTTGTTGCCATGGAAATGACAAAAATATTTTATTCAGAATTTCAAAACAACCAAAAGGCACCAGTACACCACCACATCAATCTATGTGCCAAGTTTGGTGAAGAAACATTGAACAGTTTTAGAGTTCAGCTCCGGAAAAGAGCACTACTACAATTTCAGGCTAAGTCAAACTTGTTGCCATGGAAACGCCAAAAATATTTTATTCAGAATTCCAAAACTACCAAAAGGCACCAGTACACCACCAGATCTATCTATGTGCCAAGTTTGGTGAAGAAATAGTGAACAGTTTTAGAGTTCTGTTCCGGAAAAGAGCACTACTACAATTTCAGGCTAAGTCAAACTTGTTGCCATGGAAACGCCAAAAATATTTTATTCAGAATTCCAAAACTATCAAAAGGCACCAGTACACCACCAGATCTATCTATGTGCCAAGTTTGGTAAAGAAATATTGAACGGTTTTAGAGTTCTGCTCCGGAAAAGAGCACTACCACCAATTTCAGTCTAAGTCGAACTTGTTGCCATGGAAATGCCAAAAATATTTTATTCAGAATTCCAAAACTACCAAAAGGCACCAGTACACCACCAGATCTATCTATGTGCCAAGTTTGGTAAAGAAATATTGAACGGTTTTAGAGTTCTGCTCCGGAAAAGAGCACTACCACCAATTTCAGTCTAAGTCGACCTTGTTGCCATGGAAATGCCAAAAATATTTAATTCAGAATTCCAAAACTACCAAAAGGCACCAGTACACCACCAGATCTATCTATGTGCCAAGTTTGGTGAAGAAATATTGAACGGTTTTAGACAAATGTGCACGGACGGACGGACGGACGCATGGATGGAGTCCATTTTAATACCCCCCACAAAATGGCTTGAACACTGTATATTAGGATCCAGGCCTGCAATACTAACAAACGATTTTATATTATCTGTAGCAATATTTCAGCAATATGAAGTCATAGGACACCAAGAATTGGTTTTATATTACTGCTTATCTAGCCATGATGATATGAAGGGTACCCAACATGAGGACACCAAGGACTGGCTTCACATGTACCCTCTATCTAATAATGATGATATGAAGGGTACACAGCACTAGGACACCAAGGACTGGCTTCACATGTACCGCCTATCTAATAATGATGACATGATGGGTACCCAACACGAGGACACCAAGGACTGGCTTCACATGTACCCTCTATCTAATCATGATGATATGAAGGGTACCCAACAGCACCTAGGACACCAAGGACTGGCTTCACATGTACCCAACACTAGGACACCCTATCTAATAAAGATGATATGAAGGGTACCCAACACTAGGACTGGCTCCACATGTACCGCCCTATCTAATAAGGATGATGGCTTCCCAACACTGTTGGCTTCACATGCCCTATCTAATAAAGATGATATGAAGGGTACCCAACACTAGGACACCAAGGACTGGCTTCACATGTACCGCCTATCTAATAAGGATGATATGAAGGGTACCCAACACTAGGACACCAAGGACTGGCTCCACATGTACCGCCTATCTAATAAGGATGATATGAAGGGTACCCAACACTAGGACACCAAGGACTGGCTCCACATGTACCGCCTATCTAATAAGGATGATATGAAGGGTACCCAACACTAGGACACCAAGGACTGGCTTCACATGTACCCGCCTATCTAATAAGGATGATATGAAGGGTACCCAACACTAGACACACCAAGGACTGGCTTCATGTACCCTATCTATCTAATATGATGATATGAAGGGTACTTCACATGTACCGCCCTATCTAATAAGGATGATATGAAGGGTACCCAACACTAGGACACCAAGGACTGGCTTCACATGTACCGCCTATCTAATAAGGATGATATGAAGGGTACCCAACAACACTAGGACACCAAGGACTGGCTTGACATGTTCACTAGGACACCAAGGACTGGCCTATCTATCTATAAGGATGATATGAAGGGTACCCAACACTACCCAACACTAGGACACCCTATCTAAGGACTGGCTCCACATGTGACCTCCTATCTAATAAGGATGATTTGAAGGGTACCCAACACTAGGACACCAAGGACTGGCTCCACATGTACCGATGATTTGAAGGGTACCCATCTAATAAGGATGATGTTCAGCCTAAGGGTACTAAAAGTAGGACACCAAGGACTGGCTTCACATGTACCACCTATCTATTAAGGATGATATGAAGGGTACTAAAACTAGAACACCAAGGTCTGGCTTCACATGTACCACCTATCTAATAAGGATGATATGAAGGGTACTAAAACTAGGACACCAAGGACTGGCTTCACATGTACCGCCTTTCATGACATGAAGGGCACATAGCACTAGGGCATCAAGGACTGGATTTACCATATATCCTGTGTGTATTTCTGAAAGCTGTCAGTAAAAACAGACAAGCTGAAGGCAAGATCACAGCATTCGACCATACCTTCTAATGGTTCTTCATCATACATATCAGGATACTGACGGAAGATGCTGTTGGCTCTCCGCTCTGGGGCAGGAGGGTTGTTGGGGTAAGTTGGGTCTGCTCGGTCCAGCATCGTCACTTTAACAGCCATTCCATACAGGTCTACCACGCCCCAGGCAGGTCTGGGTGTGCTTGGAGCAGCAATACCCTGATCCACACCGTTGATGAAGTAATGAAGGGCACCGCATGACTTCCTCACCAGGCCAATAATATCGCCTTCCTGTAATGACAGGCAAACAACTATACAGAACATTTCTTGTGTAATATATATACAACATCAAACATCTAGATAAACAATACACATCTATACGAAAGCTTAATATGTTTCTTTAATTTTTAATTATGCTCAGTGATACTTGGGGTAATTTATACAAATGAACAAACCTGGACCAGACAATCCAGTGACTAACATCATAATCATCGATTCACACAACAGGGTATGACATCAACCAGGCAACCTAATCTGACCTCCCATTCCAGGTGAATATATACATGGCAGTGATGAATACTGTAGTAGATATATACAGAGGCCCAGATAAGCTGCGTTATCCGGGTAAAATACGCATAGAAAATTTCCAATTATGCATTGAAAAATAATTGTTGCGTACTAATTACGCATTTAAAATGTTAGATACGCAAAAAGTTTAAAACAAATGCGTACGGAATATATTTATAAAAATCGCTTGCGTAATGAAAAAGACATTGATTGCTATCAAGTTGTACTGTTAGTATAGGACAAGTGTTGTACTGTAAACTTACTCAATGACGTAATACTTGGGTGAGTAAAATGACTGAAATACGCACATATTTGAAAGCAGTGGGTAATGGAATATGAAATACCCACTCAACATTCATAACACCCACTCCAAAAAAATACAGTGGGTACAGTACCCACATGAGCTAAATCTTATCTGGAGCTCTGATATACATATATACAAGTACATTCCATAGGTAATAAAGATTTATATTGCTTCTCTAAACACTGAAATTGTCCAATCAGTCACACACTGATATGTTACTGACTCACCGTGAGTTCATCTAGGTTATACTGGCCATACTCTCTCCTTGTCCCCCTTGCCATTGGTCAGAATACCACAGCCACTCATCATTATTGTACCTGGAACACAGACGTCTTTCCTCATTGCAAACATAAAGTCACATTTCATCACAAATGAAATGTTACATATAATTATCTGTTTACAAAAGCAATTGCTCGGATTATTAGGAAAATGTAAAGAGCTCAAATCTTATTGTAGTCAAGTTGGGAAACATTTGATAATAGTTTGGACGTCGAGCATGACAAAATATAGCAGGTCCAATATGTGTTATGTTATGACAATTACAGTATGTGTCCATTGTCCAAAGCAGGTGCAGTGATTGACAATAACACAGGTATGGTATGTGTTGAGTAATGACTGACATTATTGTGTAATATTAGACAATTACACTATTGTGTAATATTACATAATTACACCCCGGTGCCCTATGTAATGACTGACAACTATACAGGTGCACTATGCATTACGTAATGACTGACAATTATACAGGTGCCCTTTGAAAAACGTAATGATTGACATTATACAGGTGCACTATGCATTAAGTAATGACTGACAATTATACAGGTGCCCTTTGAAAATCGTAATGATTGACATTGTACAGGTCAACTATGCGTTACGTAATGATTGACAATTATATGAATGGTGAACTATGCGTTACGTAATGATTGACAATTATACCAGGTGCACCATTGCGACGGGCCTCACCAGCAGTGCTGCCAGACCTCATGTTGGTCATGGTGGCTGGAAACTCCAGGTTGTTTGGGTTGTGTGTAGTGATGCCCACCTCTATAGACCCTGACCACTTGTCCACGAGGCGATCTAGTCGAATCTACAACACCACCACACCAACATGAACCAGTGAGCGAGGATGGTTGTGTTAAGGCATCCAGTATTATCACAGAAGACCCACTGGACATACTGCATCCACGGAGCAAATGTGACAAAGATGTAATTATTTAAGTAAAATTGATATTTTATACTTATCCTGACTCATGATCTTTTGCTTATCTCCCTCTCCCTTTAGAATGATAGTGGAACACTTGAATCCCTTGAAGTTCCCTAAGCGGACGTATAAATACACTCACCCACGAGTTACCTCCCTTTGCCCTTCCCCGCGCAAACCAGTCATGTGACGTGCCTTACTTGTCACTCTCTCCCTTTTCGCCCAAGCGGATGGTTTAATTCCAACACATTTGAGCTGTTTATTGATCCTGATATCCCACCAACAATAATGCCTCTAAAATCAATCAACATGATCCATAATAATTTCTGATCATTTGTGAGTGGTGCCCACTTAACTGCAGTTTTCATTTTATTTACGATGTTATCTGACATTCCATATTGATTATACCATACAATAAATTAATAATCGATTTTGACTTTCAAGGCAAATCAAATGACTTATTATTTCATCCAGTAGTACTACCTATCATCGGCTACAATACTGACATCACTGAAATATGCTGTCATGACACTTATCAAAACAAAACAAACAATTACACTGAAACATCAAGTATCCCTGTTAGGCCATGTTTACAGGTCAGGTTACTAGTTATATGCTTCAAGCAAATCTTAATAGACAAATCTTCTTGTCCTCATTTCGTGTTTAAGGTAATACTGATGATCAATGATACTACTTCTTTGTTTCCTTTGACAGATGTTACAGGCTTCAGTTGTCATGGTAATTCCACATCACACAAAGTACTGGCCACCAGTGTGAATTTATGAAAAACTGTGTGACAAGACAGACATGCCAGAACGATGCATTCCAGATGAAAAATCAGTTGTTACGTATGCGAAAAACCCTTCTTTTTCATCCTGGGAACTACTTGTTTACAGATCAAATAGTAGCAATAGAACAGAAGACTACAGTACAACCAGAAATTATTGAGAATTTAAAGATTGTAAATTTCTTTTTTTCACTCATTACTCACGTATTAAATGTGAATATTCGCAGAACATAACTCCAGATTCAAAGACAGGTGAACAGTTAGTATTTTGTCAAGTCACCATGGGCAGCAATGCAGGCTTCAATGTGGCGGGGCATACTACTGATCAAAGAAGTTAGAAAGTCAAGGTCCATGCTGTCCCAATATCGGACCACCTCTTCTTTCATTTCAGCAATATTTGTCAGATTTTTCTTATTGACACTTTCCTTCATTAGTCCCCAAACATTTTCTATTGGATTTAGGTCAGGGCTATAGCTTGGCCAATCTAATACTGTCATATTTTGGGTTCGAAACCAGGCCTGTGAATGCTTTGAACGATGTTTTGGGTCATTGTCCTGCTGGAAAACCAAAGACTTTCCATAGAACACGCGAGCAGATGGAAGTAAATGTCCCTCGAGGATATCTGTGTACTGCGTACCTCTGTGTATCATATTCCCTTCAGATACACAGAGGGGCGTTGCCCCTAACACAGATATGCCACCCCAGACGTTAAATTTCGGAAACTGTACTTTGGGGGCTGATACACAGGTTTTGCAGTTTGTTTGGTCCAGAATTTCAGTGTATTAGGAAACAGCCATACAGAACTTTCATCTGAGAATATCACATTGTCCTAGTTAAAATTTCTATGCTGTAAGCACCAGTTCAACCTTCGCTCCTTTTGTTCAGGTTTCATGATTGGTGATGGAATTCCTCAACTTTTCTGCCAACCCATTGCATGCAGCTAAGTTCTAATTGTCTCCTTACAGACAGACACAGTTCCTCTATCAATCATATCCGGCCTTAAGTATTCTAAACTCCTTCGTTTGTTTTAGAAACAAGAATACCAAGCCGCCTCCTGTCACCGACAGTCAATTTTCTGGGCCTACCTGCACCTCCCTGGTGCTCAATGCCATATCCATTTGCAATATTTTTCAAAACACAATAAACAGTGGACAAAGGGTTACCTGTTCTACTTGAAATCACTTTAGCTGATCTGATGTCCTTGTTATAATACTCTAAAATCAACTTCCTCTTCTCTAAATCATCCATACTGAGGATCACTGAAAATGGCGTCTGCTAGCAAGTAAACAAAGGGGGATAACTCTTCACAAACTAATGAAAAAGGATTAACGGAGTTGTCTCTCTTGAATGAAACCAAACACTTGATAGCTGGTCAAGGTTGTTCATACTACAAATCCAATTAAACATCCTAAAATTCTCAATAATTTCTGGTCATACTATATTTGTGATTCTACTCGTTGAAATTTAGCTACATAATTGACATGACTGAGAAATGCTGAGTTTACAAGCATCTAACATGCCAAAACCCATATTTCCAAAAAGATTTTTCATGACACAATTTGCATGTATTATTCAAAAACATTTTCATGAAACCATTTAACACAGATAATTTCTGGTTCATGTCTAAATATGTGATCATGTAAACTCATGGCCACCAAAATGATAAATACCTCAAACACCTCCTCATCCCTCAGTGGTCTGTTGGTCATTACAACGCCATTATTAAACTCATCCATAGGTCGGCGTCGTTCTGCTGTTCGGCGACTGTTGCTCAGTTTTACAAGCGTTCCACAGCGTTCATGAAAAGTGAGCCGGTCGTTAGAATGATGCCGATCATCATCCACTCCAGCTCCGAAATCCCGACTGGCAGCCAGGTCATTGGCAATCTGATTGGATAACTCCGCGAGGAACTCGTTCGCAAGCTCATTGGCAATGTCATTAGTTATTCTGGCAGCATTCACAGCACAGGCTAGAAGATCAAAGAAAAAGAGAGTGAGTACAAGTTGTCAGAGAAGGAATCAATCTTTAAGACATAAGGAGCATCTGGGTTAACGTCACATTTAACATTATTACACTTATATTGAGTGTATAAGTGAGTTTATTAGCAATATTCCAGCAATATCACGGTGGAGGACACCAGAAATGGGCTTCACACATCGAGTATATAAAGCTAAGCATGTGTGTGTGTGACTGTTCACATTTGTCCAGACTAATGCCACATTTATACTGCTAACCCACAGAGATACAGTTGAGTATATGTCACCCTGTTGACACAGCATACTGATTCCACGTCACACAGTCCTTGTTTCAACCTCTTAATGCTGAGCCCCAAGGTAACTCACACGTCCCACAGTCCTCGTTTCAACCTCTTAATGCTGAGCCCCAAGGTAACTCACACTATGACTGATGTTGCACGTTATAATTGTATGATATGAATGAACTAACCTGGACAGCAATGTTTTCTTGAGGACAGATTTTCTTATTTATTGCAAAGAATCCAAATCGAGTTAAAAGTCAATCTGATTGAACCATGCAATTTGCTTATACGAGTACATCTACTTTAGCCTTAGTTTCTGGGCATTGAACATCATAACAATGAGTGAGTGAGTATGGTTTTTTACCGCTTTTAGCAATATTCCAGCAATATCACGGCAGGGGACACCAGAAATGGGCTTCACACATTGTACTTATGTGGGGATTCGAACCCGGGACTTCGGTGTGATGAGCGAATGTTTAACCACTGGGCTACCCCACCTCCCCAAACATGGGAGCTGTGGAAATGAATGGGTCCGAGGATTTCATAAGAACTGAAAGGGCAACAGATACATTTCACAATAGGATGTGCCTTCAATGAGTCATTCTAATATTACAGTATTATGACATTTACCTGCATCTCTGCTATTTGAGTCCACTATTGACACCTGTGCACATTTCCCATACATATCCACAACAGCATACACTCGGGTAGGAATCCCAGTAGCAGCAGGGCCTTGGTCCATTCCATTCACATAGAAATGTAAAACACCCTGAGCTGATCTCATCACCCCAACACGATCTCCCTCTGATAGTTGATCTAAGTCCCGCCCATATTCCTCGATCATCGAGTGTCCATCTTTGAGGATGGAGCTTCCAGACATGACCCATGTGCCTTCCCGGAATCCTGTGGCACTGATGGGGAAACTTAGGTTGTTGGGGTCACATGTCGTCACTCCAATCTCTATAGAACCACTCCAAGAATTAACCTGAGAAGAGAAAGTAAAACATAGTTGAAAGTCATGAATAGAAGTGGAAAGTTCTTTTTCTCAACTAGGGGCAATGACTTGGGAGCATATATAATTCAAACAGCACAAAAAAGTTTAATTTGAATCTTTTTTCGAAATCTCACAGTTATAAACACTTCTACAGAATTCCTTTTAAGTTTAATTTGATTTAGAAATAGAGAAATTCACAGTAATAAGTCTATAACCATATATATGAGTATAATTTTATATTCAACAAACTGATACAAGGACTCCTTGTGTCAAGGATTTCTGTTGAACAGTTCTGAAAGTTGATTTTGTTGAAAAAAAGGGATTTGTTTGAATGGCAATCTTTCCCATGTTTAAAGACATTTATGTGCTCAGCTCTGAGGAAATGTGTTACTTTTTAAGTTCACCTATAAACCAGACCAAAAGTACTACTTTTATAACAGCATTTGCAGAAATGTATTCTTCAAGTGTGAATCAGGCAGTTCTCTTAAGGAAGTTTAGATATGCCTTTTGGAACTTACATAGCAATAATATTTGTTTTTTGTCTGGCACTTTTTCATCATAAAAAACATTTAAAGATATCAAAAGTAACTAATTCATATTTCGCATTATATCAATTCATATTTTAGACATTTACCAAGAACTCTATTTCCCTAATAACCACACCATGGCTTAAGTCCCTTGCAATATGACATCACTGGTGCCAACTGATAAACAAATGACGTCATTGGACCCTTATTTGACCCCATTTCCTGTTTTGTAGGTACAGACAGAGGTTCCTGTTTCTCAATGTGCAGCCTATAGTTTTAACCCTCACGGTGCCTGGCTGTCAGCCAGCTTTGTATTCTGCTCAGTGATGCTCTGTGATGACATCACGATATACATTGTACAAAACATGTCACCACGTTCTCATTTCTGACAAAAGATCACACACAACATCTAGGGTACTTCGGCTCATTGTTTTACTATTTCCCTGGCCAAAAGAAAACAAAAAGGAAACAAACTGTAGATTGTCTGACTGATTAATTACTTATGTCGTATATGAATTTAGCATTTATGAATCAACGAAAGTCTTCTTCCTAATATCCTGTGTACTTGTGTCAGTACACACATCATTTTACCTGTAGTGAAGTCATACGTATGTCAACACTGCTATACCTATGTGGTATATCACTGAGGTGAGTTCTATGAATGAAAATACAATCAATCTATCCTGCATGCATCTTTCATTAACATTTCAACAATTATATTGAGCATTCTACTTTCGACGTGAGAAAAATGAGTGCTTATGTTCAAACACTGATATTAGCCAATTCTAAAATCCAGTTTTGTTTCACTCAACTATAAAAGTGATTTCTTCGGGGACACTTCTTTGGGTGCACCAACTAGAAGAGTACTTTTGATCCATCTTCAACCACAATATTTAATAATGCCTCTTTGTCACTGAGAATAATAATACCCTAGGTTTAGTTTGTGAAACATGCTGTGCTATTGAAACACTTTACACTGAGTTTACATGACATGAGATTTTCCAGTCTGTGAGTACTGTTGTTACTGGCTTCGACTTCAATACTTGATATCAAGGTATACTATTCAGTCAGAAACTGGCCAGCTTTGGAATAATCTCAAAAGTCTCTCATACTTAAGTAGAAGACATCTGAAAAACATTTCACAATGAAGAACATGTGGAATCTAGGGCTGCAACAATTCACCCAGACCTCGATTCAATTCAATTTTCGATATTGAACCCTTGATTCAATCATTATCCATTCGCTTCTTCATATAAGTAAAAACATCAGATTTCATTTAACTCTCAGAGTCGTCTTTTTTAAAGTGAAATCCATTGTCAACTAGGCGATGTCTACTAACAACAATTCTCATTGGATAATTAGCCCTGCATCAACCAATCACGTTTTGCCTTATTTCAGCGCTCAAAACTGCTAGAGTTAAAATTTTGTTCTGGCTGTGTGGAAACAATTTAAATAGGTATTCAGATATCGAATCGAAATAGTGATAATGGTTATCGAAAATCAAAACTAAGGTGTCAGATTCAATTTTCAATGAATCAAACCTAATCGTGCCCTAGTGGAATCAATATTCTTTCTGTGGGGTGGAATATTGGGTTTTTCCTCCTTTTAACAAAATGCATCTGTGCCTTACAGGAATTATGTGCTTGCTAATCATTATAATGACAGTTCATAAATATTCATGGAAGTCTGTTCGAATGTTACTATACTTACCAAGAATATTTTGTAGTAGTAAACTAGGGCTTTAATGGTGTATTATTTTATCACAGGAAACCTACATTCCTAGAGCAGCTTTACAAGATATAATCCATAACTAATCTACCATTTAGGTCTAGAAATTATTTATGCAGTCAACGCTTAATATATTTGATGATCATAGAAAGATTTGCATGAATCTTGAAATAACCAAACGAGCATGTACCACTTCATATTAAGTCCTAAACTTAATGCAGTTGTGTATTTGTTAAAATGTGCTATCATACATACAAGCCACATCTGACAAATTGTCTACATATCAGTTCAAAAAGACACAAATATGTTGTGCATGTCACAGAAAGCATCATTCTTAACATTTATGAATGTTTTATGAATTGACGGTTTTGTGGCTGTGCTCTCAGTATTATTTCAAGATCTAGTTTATATCAGTGTGTATTACATTTAATGTGTATTTTAGGAATGGATTGCAACCAAGAACATATTCCATTACAAAAAGGGAACACCAAACAATAACATAGAGTAAATACTGTTTAATTGCAGTGAGCAAAATTTCACCTTACAACTGGAGAACAGTGGCACATAATAAAGCATGTCCATACACATAATAACAGCATAGGGATTTTTCAAGAACAAATGGCATCAAGACATTTTCTGGATATAATGCACTTTTGATAGGATATTCTTCAACAGCCACAGGGATTTACAGAACGCGAATTCCCGTGTCCTATACGCATAAAAATTGACAATGGACGAAACCAAATTTACTAAGCGCATCCACGGGGTCTCAGAAAAACTCCAAATACTTTTTGTAAAAATTCCAATCAGGTGACAAAAAGTTATCACTGAGTTTGCTACTTACTGGGTTATGGTATTATTTGCAATTTAATTACTGTAACAATGTGATGATCATGTTACACAATACAATAACAGTATTAATAATAATATTTAAGTGTCTGGGACCCTCAAATACAGGACTCCATGTAAATCCCTGCAGTCATTATACCAAAGGCCTATCAGATTGATGTCTTGCACAAAATTGGCTCATTGCGTCCATTTTCCGTGGAATGTTGCGCTATCATGTTGACTATTATTTAGATTGCTTGACTGAAAGAGAACTTTACTAAACTCAGACTTGGATCAGTATTCCCAGACTGCATCTTGTGAACGGGTGCCAGTCAAAACAGTTGTACCATAGGAAACAGTTCAACCATTTGTTCTAAGACCTGACATACTCTCAAAGTACTCATGAAACGAAATGGGTGTGCATGTGCAAGAAAAATGCAGACAATCCTGCAAGGACTGTCAAAAAGAAAGACTGGTTCTGAGTAACTGATTATTTTCATTGTAAAAAACAGAGTGCACAGTTTAATGTGAGTTTTTCTAACCCAGGAAACCATGCTACAACATTCTTGCTTATAACAATTAAAACGAATATTGCTACATTGAAAATATTTTTGACAAGAGCTGAACCGAGTACAATAGTTTCATTGTAAACAAGATAGAGTGTGAAAATGTCAAAGTCAAAGCTGAAACTTGGCAACCACTACGCAGAAATTATTAACCTTTTTATCAATTTTGACTTCAAAAATTTGGTTATCCCGCAGCGGATCTGCACTAAGTACAACCCCGTTGTTAAATTCCTGAGTGGGATGGTTTCTCTGGGCGGTGCGATTGCCATTGCTCAGTGTGACAAGTGTCCCTGTCCTGCTGTGGAACACTGCCATCGCCGCCATTGTGGTGGAATAGCGATGAACCAGCAAAGCAAAACAATAAAATGTCTCAAAGCGTATATTTTATCGCTCAGTATTAATTTGCAAAACCAAAAACACATTTAAACGATTATGATTGCTTATAAATGATAACATGTTTCTTTTTGTTGGAATATAGTATTTTGTCCAATGTATATAATTTGGTTTGAGAGTGCAAAAATATGTATAGTATTCGCCTAACCACTAACAATACATGTACGCCCAGATATGAATAGATGTCCGACATCATACACATGATGTTATCACCAAAGTTTATAATCTGCAACGTTTTTACTCCACAAATATTCTTCTCCTCGTTTATCTTTATCGTTGTTTTGGTATGCCTTTATTGATACTATCAACTAGGTCGTATAAATTTCAAATTTATTCATTTGTGCGTATGAGTGATTTCTTTATTGGTGGGGTTGTACCTCCTCTGATGCATAATAATACAAGTCTACTCACAAGAGAGTTACTCTTTAAACACACACACTGAAAGAGAGAGAGAGAGAGAGAGAGAGAGAGAGAGAGAGAGAGAGAGAGAGAGAGAGAGAGAGAGAGAGAGTCTGATCAACATTATATGCGACAAATAGCAGCTTTTTTGCAAAAGTAGAGTTTATTTAACTCTCTCACAGCCCCTGAACCGCATTATTTTCACCATCTTTCCCTACCTGCAAGGGTAAAGTTTTAAATGAAGAAGTCTCTCTACTCACTGGGGCTCCTTTTCAATTGAAATGAATTATTCGTTTCTATCAAAAGTATATGTATTCAGAGATTAAGCGTTAGAGATCAGCTATATACGGGACGCCTGCATACGACCAGTAAGAAGGATCTGTAAACACATACATGTACGCAGCAATAACAGACGTAGATGGCGTTATACGATAGTTTTCCGTATATCATTTCATTTCTACTTGTACGAAAACAACTCAAAATCAGACGAATCTAGGTAATCTGAGTATATAATATCTTGAACTCGGTCGTAAAGACAGTAGTAGACTAACGCTTGATCTCTGTTGATAGTAACAAATAAACCCATTAAATTGAAAAGGAGCCCCAGTGAGATTGGAAATTCAGAACCTAAGGAAATCTAGACTTGCTTCATGTAGGGCTTTAGCATTGCAGGGAGGGCTAAGGTGTAAGGAAAATAATGTGGGACTGTGAGACAGACTAAGTGAGTGGGTGAGTTAAGATTTAAAGTCACAGACAGACTAAGACAGTATGTACTTAATTTGCCCCAAACCCGTGCAGGCAAATCCGTGAACCTCACAGCACACTGGGATGCTGGTGTAGACATGTACTAGGTTATGGTCACATCAAATGCTCGGAGTCGATTCTATACATTGGCACGACGTGAGAAGCCCATGTCTGGTGTCTGCCGTCGTCATGGTGCTGGAACCGTGCTGAATGCGTCCTGACTGACTGAGTTTGGTTTTACGCCGCTTTTAGCAATATTCCAGCAATATCACGGCGGGGGACACCAGAAATGGGCTTCACACATTGTGCCCATGTGGGGATTCGAACCCGGGTCTTCGGCGTGACGAGCCAACGCTTTAACCATTAGGCTACCCCACCGCCCCGAATGCGTCCTGAAACTATACTAACTTACATCACATGTATCCAAATAGCAGCTTTCAGCCCTCAAATAATCTCTTAACATCTGTGTACAAAGGGCAGATGATGATAGGCAGGGACCCTGATATACACACCAGTTGGGATTCATTATGTGTTATCATGATATTTACACGGGTGTCGTCCAAGTGTTTATAAGTGCACGATCTACGTTCCTTCAGGCTTTCCTCGTTCGTTACGCTGGCACACCCTGAAATAACGCCAAACTTTGCAATAATCGCAAAAATAGCGATGATTCCCTTACCCACTTCCGACGTGCCGTTAACGAAGCTGAAACAGACGCCACAGATGATGCAGCCAAACACCCAGACTCTGAGATGAAAAAGAACATTTAAAGACACACACACACACAAAAGAACCCTAACGATGTACCTAGTCTTAAAACGACATAATAAAGTACCCCAGGGACTTCTTTCTTTGCCGAAAGTGCAATAATCACGACTGCAAGTATTACTGGCTGGATTCGTATTCTAACCCTTGGTCTCTGAATATACATAATTTTAATAGCAACAAATAAACCGATTTAAATTGAATAGGAGAACCAGTGAGATTGGAAATCCTGAATCTGAAGAAATCTAGACTTGCTTCATACAGGGCTTTAGCATTGCAGGGAGGGCCAGGGAGTAGAGGAACATGTGGTCCAGGGACTGTGACATTGACTATAGCTGGATTGGGTGCAAGACCTGTGTGATGCAGTATCCTGAAGAAACCAAACATAGGATACTCGTATGGTTCGGGTGGGCTTGGGTGTGGTCGGAAATGGCTGATTTGGAGTCTTTTTTCTTTAAAGATGTCTGATGTTCCTTGATTCGTAGGTTTAGGGGGCGGCACGTTTCTCCTATGTATGAGTCACCACAGGCGCAATGAATGTGGTAGACAACGCCTGAAGGGTCTTCTTTGTTGCTTGTAGGTGGTTTACCGTTGGCTTGTAGGATATTCTGAATTGATGTGCCTCTCTGGAACACAACATCTATGAGACCACTTAAGAAGCAGGCCGCCTCCGTGTAGTCTGTCTCACAGTCCCTGAACCACATTATTTTCCCTACAGCCTAGCCTTCCCTGTAGTGCTAAAGCCCTAAACGAAGCAAGTCTAGATTTCTCCAGGTTCTGAATCTCTGGTCTCCCTAGGGCTCCTTTTCAATTTAAATGGGCTTGTTTGTTACTATCAAAATTATATATATTCAGAGACTAAGCCTTAGTCTAGACTCCGTGGTGTAGTGGTTAGAGCGTCCGCCCGGAGAGCGGAAGGTCGCGGTCGCGCTAGCACTATAAAACCAGCTTCAGTCTGGGCTAGTACAAGCAGCCGCACATACACATGCACGCGCATGCACGTCGTCATATGAGCAAAATATTCTCAAGCATGACGTTAAACCCAATTTCACCTCACCTCACCTCACTTTAAGAAGCAAGCCAACATAGATGTTGTGTTCCAGAGAGGCACATCAATTCAGCATATCCTACAAGCCCCATATTAAAACTATGCAGCTTACCTGCACTCATTCGTATGTCCCACTATGCTATACCCCCTTGGTAACCCACCCCCAATGCATGGCCCCCACTTATATCTATTTTTAGTTTTAACTCAATCTCTCATTTATCAACAAATACTACTGGGTTTTTCCCCCTCCTTTCCCTTTATAACTTCGGCTTTTTACTTTTCTTTTCATCTCATGCTTTAAACGTTTCCATTCTAAATTTATCTAGGTTAAAGCCCCTACATTTACATTTTTTGGGGCACGGTGGTTTATCCCCTATTACCAGTTATTCATAATTTAATGTTAAAACCCACCTGCCCGATCGGCGAAATTGGCGCCCGCCCCAAGCCGACGTTAAACCACATAATTCGTCGTCGTGTTGTGTATCATTTGCTTGATAACGGAACATCGCAAGTACTACTGCAACAAAGTAGTTGTCTATCCATAAAAAGTGTTCCACTTCATCATTCCAGCTTCTAACTGCCACTTAAGGAAGTTACATCTAACATATATATTCATTCAGCAGTAGTGGAATATACAGTTCAGATATTTGCTTCTCACCACAATCATTCCTTCCGACATGATTGGTTGTCCAATTATTTTTGTTTTAAAACCAACCGTGCAGAATCATGATACTTACGATATCGGTTTTGAAAATACATCCTTGTACTCTTTCGAACTCTCAGTCTGGTTTTATGAAGTACATGCAACAGAAAGTAATGTTATGTAACTGAGCTTACATTTGTGTTTGGTAACACACGGGTAGCGAGTTTTAACACCGAGGACATATAATATCCATTTTGATATGAAAGTAAAAGAAATCAGAAATTACAGATCGGCACTTTTCTCATCTAATAATAGTCGAGATGGTTTGCTCTAGGGACATGATTAAAAACGACGTAAACCTATCACAGTTGTAAGTACATAAGTGTAGATGATATAGCAGGAGTCTACATTATATATGTTATTCTATAAACTTTTGTATAAAATCCCTGCTGGAATGTATCTAGAGACGATCCATCTGAAAAACAGGTTCCACTGCACATATAGTGTGAGTATCCTGGGCTTTGAAAACCCTGGGCAACACAAAAGGCGTTGTTTGTGTTGTTTTCACAGTGCTTTATATTGTCAGCAGCGGGCCTTTATAACGGTATCGCGTATAACGGTTGACGTTAGGAATACATTACCTCGAACTTCACTCGACCTTGACACTTGCTCCAGAAAAATGGCGACTGCAATGTATTTGGAGCATTATTTGGACAGTAAGTATTCATCTGTCATCGGTTACTGTTCACTGAGATTTAGTATAATTGTAACACAACATACGATAACACACTTTATATGTCATTTTTGTCCCACGTGCACTGCAAAATTATTGTCTTTGTCAAAAAAAGTAGTGTCAAAAGTTTTTAAATGGACCCGCGTCGATCTCAAAATTTGGCGCAATATGTCACTTTTTCATCGTCTGAGAACTTTAGGAAAAAACAAAGACAGAACATAACAATAGGATAATTGTGTAGCTTGACTACCCATCTTATGAAACGCATGTAGGAAGAATGCCCTATTACATCCGATTTGAATGACGTTTACTGTTATTTTATTGCTTTCTGGAAGCCTGCCAAATACGTCGGAACGCGATCGTTATCGTAAGCCATGTAAACATTGTAAGGCAGGTGAAACCACACAGGTCAGACGATCGCACATATTAATATACCCTGGCCAGTGTCTAGGGGCCAGTGTTTATGATCGGTGTATGAAATAAGGCCCGTCCGACCGCACGAGATGGGCTAGATTTCAGACGGAAGGTCTAGATTTACAGCTAGCCAGCCCGATGGTCTGGTAAAAATTCAAGATGTTATATGCATCTGAGTCATATCTTGGTGTCTGGTCTGGTTAAATCCATTTTGGACTGGTAACATTTTGAAGTTACCAGCCCTTATGTCTGGCTGGGGGTTTGGGCTTATTTCATACACTGCTATGATGTGTTACTGCCCCAATATGAATTAATCTAATATATGTAAAGAAAAGGAAGAAACGGTCTTGCGTATCAAGGGATTGAGTTGTTTTCATTTGAAGTTTGGCGAAATTCTCATGCAGGTCCCCGATTGTTTTAGCTTCCTTCAGTCCTGACAGTAATGGTGGTAACTGCATAAGATAGCGAGATATTTCTTTCGCTGGATTTTCAACTCATAAGTAATCCTTCAGAACATTCACTCAGTTCATTGAAACAGTTTTCAATGGTTTTACCTTGACGTACAATCCAAAAGGTCCTGACCTTCGAATGATTAATATCAAGGGTTCATACAGGAAACATGAGAATCCTGTGAATGGTAATGGGTAATAAAATGTTGTGGGAGCACCTTTAGAATACAGCACCACCACTTCTCATTGTGATGGTTATTGTTCTGACAGATTTCATGATTACTTCAATTAAAGGAACTTTGTGTTCCATGGTATGACAGATTATATAAACTGGCTGTAATATGAAACAATCAAGTGGTCCTTAACTTCTTTTGAGTAGTATATTTGAAGAGTGTGTGAGTTTAGTTTTACGCCGCTTTTAGCAATATTCCAGCAATATCACGGCGGGGGACACCAGAAATGGGCTTAACACATTGTGCCCAATATTTGAAGAAGTTTCATTATGATTTATGAAATATCAAATGTGAACTTTTATCACTAACTGGACTTCCTATTGGCAGTAAGGAAGTGTTAGATATACAACCAATGATCCCAGGTAACACTGCAATCAGTCCTCGTCAGATATTATCACATGTAAAAATGTCACGTTAGTATTTTGGTGATGAAAAAAATGGACTCTTGAAATTGTCTTCATTTAGTGAATAGTTTGAAATGCATTGAAGCTCTGTGCAGCAACATGATTAAGACAGACAGATTCATTATCTGTACCGTTCGGGATATATGGAGATACTAGAGACAGTTTTATTATCTTTCAGGTCTGGAGTCCTTACCATCAGAGCTTCAAAGAAATTTCAACCTTATGCGAGATCTGGACCAGAGGTCGCAGGGTAAGGATAGTTCAATATGGTCTGTAAAGCTGAGGATCATTCTAAGGATGTTGATTTTGCCAACCTGAAGAATTCTGTTCAATCAAATATGTTTTTATGAATCAAATGTGTACACATATTTTAACTGCTAGTCTTGTAAAGAATCCTTGTTTGAACTTTGAATCATTAAACCTTCATGTCTCACTTGACCACCTTTGTGATATAGTGGCTAGAGCGTCCGCCCGGAGAGCAGAAAGTCACGGGTTCGATCCCCGGATGCGCCCTACCAAAAGATATGAAAATATGGTACTTGTTGGTCCCTGCCTGGCACTTGGCATTAATGGTAGAACAAGGACTGGTTGGCTTGGAGTCAGTATAATGTGTCTGAGTGGGGTATTCATGCTTCACTGTGGCATGGTATCTCAGTGGGCTAGCACTATAACACCAGCTTAAGTCTGGGCTAGTACAAGCAGCCACACATACACATGCATGCACGTTGTCATATGAGCGAAATAATCTTAAGTACAACATGAACCTCATCTCACCTCACCTCACCTCATATGAAATAGATAGACCCAGGAAAGTCTTGACTTCTGGCACTTGAATCTTATTAAAGTATGTCACAATAGGGGTTATCAAGGCTTGCTTAGAGGTCAGTAGTCTGCCCCTAGTCAGTAACAATTCTTCACCTAGACCTATTTTTGCTTCCTATTTGGACCCTGAGTTTTCAAGTTAATCATGTGTAAAATTTTAATTCATGTTATGTCTTTATACATGTGACATGCTGCATATGAATAAACATAAAAGTGAATATTACCTATACCCATCAATCCCATTTTTTTAATAAAATGTTCATGTTTCACTAACATGGCTTGTCAGCACTGGTTACTAACGGTGTTATGACTCAGGGTCCCAACAAGACTTCTCTAAGCATCTGTGTTCACTGCAGTTCAAAAATCAATACAGTGAGTCAACATGTTTATTTGCTCATGAGGAGGCCGGAGGATGTGTGTACTCTCCCAGTACTCACTGGATTCTTTAGGCTTATTTCCCTTGGCTTACAACTTAGCAATAGCCTGCTTGCTCCAGCCTCTTCTCTTGTGGTGAAAATGTCATGATTTGCATTAACAGGTGATATCCATTAACAGAAAGGATTTGTCTACACCTTATGTTCTTTGTCCAAGAGGACAATATTTGTCTGAAGTCTGAAGCAAATGTCCCAGATCTGAATTGCAGATTTTCAGTCTCACTTAACAAGTGATACTGTTTTGGAGAGGTGACTTAAATATCACTTGTAACAGTACCATTGCACTGAGTTTTAGATTTAGGTTTAACCTTTTGCATTGATAGAAATAATTAGCATGATAACAGTACCCTTTATACTGGTATAATAAGATCTTCATAGCAATTCAAAATGTTCTGATAAAAATCATGTGAACTTTCATCCAATTTGTCTACCAAGGGAGGATAGTTTGTCAATTCTAGTTAAATTGCTCTTTAAATGACTAGTGGGCTAGTGTCAGTTTGTTTTCAATTTTCACACATCACATTTGTTGCTCTTTGTGTGTTGACAGAGCTGCTGAAGCAGATCGACAACCTGGCAGAGGAGTACCTGGACAATGTTCGCGGGATGGTGCCGGAAAGACGGACAGACCACCTGGAGAGCATCACCAAGCTGTTCTCCAAGAGCAAGGAGTTTGGAGATGACAAGGTCCAGCTGGCTATGCAGACCTACGAGATGGTAATTATACCACTGTCACAATTTTATCTCAAGTACACATTCAGTCCCTGAAATTAAAGTATGTGTTTGTTAAACAGTCATTAGATGTGTAGCAATAGAAAGAGCAGCAAATACTCCGGCTTTTTATGAAGATATAGTAAGTATTGCAGATTTGAGGGTTGTTGGATATACACTGAACTATGTATATTACAAACACACTTCTAATGAACTGACGGGGCAGTGGGGTAGCCTAGTGGTTAAAGCGTTGGCTTGTCACGCCGAAGACCCGGTTTGAATCCCAACATGGGTACAATGTGAAGCCCATTTCTGGTGTCCCCCGCCATGATGTTGCTGGAATATTGCTAAAACGGGCGTAAAACCAAACTCAGTCAGTCAGTCTAATGAACTGACAGATATAACAAACTGGCCTTGTGGTCCTGGCTGCTTTCTGTATGTTTTATGGTTTTAACTACAGTTATAAGAAACTAAAGTTAGTGGACCCCTTGAGTTCGTTATAACTGTAGGTTGTTGTGTTAGGTTCTATACATGGGTCTGCCTCTAAATTTACCCCTTGTCTTACATGTTCTTTGATGGAGAGAGGGGTAGTGGGGTAGTCTAGTGGTTAAAGCGTTTGCTTGTCACATGGGTACAATGTGTGAAGCCCATTTCTTCTGTCCCCTGCCATGATATTGCTGTAGTATTGCTAAGAGCTGTGTAAACCAATACTCACTCATTCTCTGATTAAGAAACGGTTTGTACATGTTCATGCCTACATGAGTATATTTGTAATTTAGCACATAGCATTTTAGCAGATCAGTCTCTTCAGTTGACCTGTAGTGTGCATTGCTATACTCAGTGTACCTGTGACCCTGTGTCTGCATTGTAGGTGGACAAACACATCAGGAAGCTGGACGCTGACCTGGCCAGGTTCGAGGCCGATCTGAAAGACAAGACGTCATCCAGCTCACGAGGCCATGATCACGACATGGGCAAGAAAAGTAGGCAGTTTGACTAATACCATGTTTCCCATTAAATACCGTATATAACCGTCTATAAGCCGAATTTTGAGGACCAAAAAAATATGTCTGTTGAAGGGGGTCGTCTTATCTGTGAAATACAATTTCACGGAAATATTTTTTAGCTCCCAGTGCCCTGCCAGGACGATGTTACAGGTTACCGGTACATCTGCCAGGATGTTTGCCACAATTACAGCGTTTATGTTGTAAATGATGCATAAAATACATATTAACCTGTGCGTTTTCATTATTTCAACATATTATTACATATTAGTCATTATGACATTTATCGTACAATCAGCAGTGCACACGTTTCCCGGCGATCAAGTTCAAACATGCACAATAATATAGCGGGATGAATTCTGGCGCAGTCATCAGTAAAATATAATACAGAATACTATTATTTAACCCAAAGAAATATATCCTACCATTGTGTAATTTTAATTACAGTTTTTGCTCTATAAATGTAAAATATATAATCAACACTAAGGTCATATGGACCCTCATGAACGCGGTAAGTTGTACGCACATGGAATGGGGTAAAATAAGCAAGCCATTTAAATTCACACATTTTTACCGATGTTACTGTAAACTAGCAGTCCATGGAAAACAAGGCGGTAATAAGCAAGCCAGTTTGTTGACATGTTATCGTCTAACTACAATATGTATGATATTTAGCGAAACAAAATATATTATCCATTTTCTGTCAACTACACTTCATATCGATGCATGAGTAGACGCAATATGATTGTGAATTGTTTTAATAATGTGGACCAAAGTTATAATTATTGGTAACCGCCAGTTGTCTGTGGTCTGTGTTTGTCGCGATTAGGACCCCATCGCGGGGGGTCGGCTTATGCACGAAACATACCATTTTGACACTGATTTTAAGGGTCAAGTTTGGGGGTCGGCTTATCTATGGGGTCGGCTTATAGACGGTAATAGATGGTCACGCTGAGAGAGTTGTGTTTTTACTGCTGTGATGGCGTGAATCATTCTTTATGTATTTCTGTGATGTCACTTGTCTATTGAAATAACTGATGTCTACATATAACACAGCCTACTTCAGGTACACTTAGGGTTATGTCGTGTTGACCATGTTGGAGAGAGAAACCATTAGGGGTGTGCGATAATACCGGTTAAACGGTATATTGCAATTCGAACTTCACAGTACACTTTTCACGAACCGGTTCATCTGATACGATCGGCAATTTTTGTGATGTAGTCAAACTGCTAATAACATTCGTCTTTTACATTATAATACATTCATAGTTTTGAGAATGTTTATTGGTCATATAATTGCATTTGCGAGACTTTTAAACCATATAAATAGAAAAGATAGATTGGTACCGGCATTCGTTGGAAGGATAAACCAACAAAAATAACGAACGCTGCTGCAGACGCTTTTTCTTGAGTTCCAAACTTTAGAGCGAAGCCTTCAATTTGGAAACATTTTCAATTGATCTCTTGTACAATTACATCTGAGTCCTGACAGTGGCCAGTGGCATTGTTTCAAAAGAAAGGAAACAGTAATTTATTACCTTAACCCATGTGTTTCACTTTCACGATATATTGCAATACATATTGCAATGAGCCAACACCTATCACAATATATCGCAATACGAAAATTTTGGCAATACCCAACCCTAGAAACCATTAATATGAAGATGTTTGTTTCCAGACAAGGACAAAGAAAAGAAGCGGAAGAAGAAAGAAGAATTTGAAGATGAAATTCCTAAGAAGAAAAAGAAGAAAGGACAGCTATTGTAAGATGATTTATAATAAAAGACATGTAACTTTTGCACTTGAACAGAAATCTTGACACTGTAAGGGGAGACAACTCTTTTGACACACAAGAGTAGGAGTTTGGTGGATTTGATTTCCACTTTTAATTATTTGTTTTGTTTTGTTGCTTTACACTGTACTCATGAATAATCCGGCTATATGAAAGCTGTAACTGTTTGAGTCAGTACCAGAGAAAATGGTGATTGACATCATGAGCATCGGCTTGGGATGTGATGACCAGTGTTCACGAATGGTGTTTTAAAGTAACAGGACATTGGGTCCTGTAACTTTCAGATGTCTGTCTGACCCATTGAAAATTCACAGGACCCTTAGAATAAAATTAAACACACATTTCAGATTTAACATTTCTTATAATTGGCAATGAAAGTATAAACAAACATAAGATTTATAAACAGCAAACAGGTGTCACATGTCCCATATAACAACTTCAGTCAAAGTCATTGTAAAATATACAGTCCGACACTGGGGCCGGGCGAGTTGTATACTTCTATCGGACCGCTGGCAAATCTGCGGATTTGTCAGAGGGTCAGACGCTATTCGTGAACACTGGATGACGTGAATCATCCAAGTCACCGATCACGTTAGTCACTTCTTACGACAAGTATGGTTGAAGACAAATTATAACCTGGGTGTTCACGCATGTCACCATTAATTGAACGAATGTTTCTCTTGTACTGAATTGCAGAACAATTTAGAGCTATAACCAAACTAGCACCTTCGTTTGAACACTTGTGGCAAACACCGGGACCTGTATATTTATATTGTGCGATCTTATTTCAGGCCAGTTGAAGCAGACCCACCACTTCCCCCATTCCCGTCGATCACCCACCCGTCCGACGTCCTGGACATGCCAGTCGACCCTAACGAGCCCACCTACTGCCTGTGTCACCAGGTGTCGTATGGAGAGATGATTGGATGTGACAACACGGATGTGAGTAGAGCAATGGTGTAACACAAGGCACCCTGTGTAGGGAGAGGGCTTGGGGTTCAGGGGTGGAAATAACCCATTGCCCGATGTCCGAGTCCAGTTTTTTTTTTCTGTCATATATCGGGCTGTACCAGTGTCCAGTTGACTTTCCAATGTTAATTATGCTGTTAATTTAAGAAATCAACAAGAAAATAGGCCGGTATAGTGGAAAAATTATCAGGGCAAGTGATTTTACATGTGCCACTGTACCACTGAGTCCACTGGCAATTTTAAAGTTATTTTCACCCCTGGGGTTGTGATTAGTTGGTCATATGGTGAGGTGAGGTGAAATTGGGTTTAACGTCGTGCTTGAGAATATTTCGCTCATATGACGACATGCATGTGTATGTGTATGAGCGGCTGCTTGTACTAGCCCAGACTTAAGCTGGTTTTATAGTGCTAGCCCACTGAGATACCATGCCACAGTGAAGCATGAATACCCCATTCAGACACATTATACTGACTCTGAGCCGACCAGTCCTTGTTGTACCCATTAATGCCGAGCACCAGGCAGGAACCAACAAGTACCATATTTTAACGTATTTTGGTATGACGTGGTCGGGGAGCGGTTGGTCATATGGGCAGCTGAATATGCTTGTATAATGGCAGTGTCTATAATATCAGATCTTTTGCTCTGATACAAATGTCTGTTGGTGAAGATCTGACATCCCATTCATAGAAGTCATTTCATGTGAGCCATGAGTGGACTTTGTCCTCCCAAAGTGAGTGGGGCGTTCTTTTCCCGGGTTATTGTTGAATAGATATCTGGTCAAGATAAGTAAATATAACAGCACAATTTGTCCTCTAGAGCATGAATTCAGCACACACTTGTCACTTGGCAGTGTTGCTGTTCGGCTGAGATATTGCAATGCAATGCCAAATCATAACGCTCACTCACTATACAGACTGCATTGTAGTATGAATACACAGCTATACATGCACACAGAATGTGATTTATCCCCAATATAGCATGTGTACATTGTAGTAACTAACCTACCCTGATCCCCTGACAGTCTGGACCAGCTTTGTGAAGAAACCCAACCTGATGATAACCATTTGTCTTTCTATGGAAAGCATCAGTATAATCTTATTCATGTTCTCAAAAACTATCGACCGCCTCCGTGGTGTAGTGGTTAGAGCGTCCGCCCGGAGAGCGGAAGGTCGCGGGTTCGATCCCCGACCGCGTCATACCCAAAAGACGCTAAAATATGGTACTTGTTGGTCCCTGCCTGGCGCCCGGCATTAATGGGTACAACAAGGACTGGTCGGCTCGGAGTCAGTATAATGTGTCTGAGTGGGGTATTCATGCTTCACTGCGGCATGGTATCTCAGTGGGCTAGCACTATAAAACCAGCTTAAGTCTGGGCTAGTACAAGCAGCCGCACATACACATACATACGCATGCACGTCGTCATATGAGCGAAATATTCTCAGGCACGACGTAAAACCCAATTTCACCTCACCTCACCTCACCTCTAAAACACTATCCAGATTACCATAGTTCCAAGTTTTAAGGTTCCTGATGATGGTACACCTGGGTCAGTTCTGTTCACTGCTTCCTTTGGTGGTTCCACTTTTGTCAGTTGTTGATCACAATATAACCATGTCAGGACCTCTACAGTGTCCTATTAAGTGTTTCAATCTGCTGATTATTGTAAACCAGTTCAATTCTGTTGCAGTGTCCCATCGAGTGGTTCCACTTTGCCTGTGTGGGTCTGACCACCAAACCAAAGGGGAAGTGGTATTGCCCCCGTTGTCAGGAAGAAAGAAAGAAGAAGTGATCTCCGAACTTTGTTCACATGAAATCAGCATTGGTTCATTCATTGTTTTACTTGAGTCTCAGATTTTAATGTTTCGCATTACAGAGAGAGCAAGCTAACGTCTCTCTGCTGAACATTGTGCCAAGATGTCCAGATCAAAGGACAGTGGAATGAGAGGATAGATTTTAAATGAAAGAAAATATGATTGACGTTTTTTTCCTTCTTTTTATCAGCTTAGGTTCAAGGAGATCTTTTAGTTTCTGATGGATGTTTGATTTAAAATAATGCAAGTGTTACGGAAGCATGGTTTGATTCTGTGGAGATTTTCAGTTACCATGGCAATGTGAGAAAAGCATATGTGATGAATATGTGTCCCAAGTTTTGCTCTGTGGCAGTTATAGTGATGTTATATCTAGTCTTGCTTACCTTGCATTGCAGTGTTAATTACCTGGAGACAAGAAGTAGTAACATTAATGATTGGACAAATGGCTGTTCAAAGAAAAACTCAAATGTAACTCAAACATTCCATTCAGTTGTATCTAAAATATTCACAGAATCTTCTTGTATCACACTGATCATGTTCAGATTTGTAGCAGATTATTAGGTTAATTTAACTGATTTATCCTATTTTTATAGCTTATGCCATTTTGAGTTGATGCTGATGTCACCCAGAGGTGGTAAGGGGGATAACTCATTCATCTCCGAACTCAATCACGTGTCTCTGATTATGCAAAATGTTGATAATAACAAATATGGACTCACCGGAACAAAAATCACTGTAGTTTGCATCTTGTGAGTTGCTCAGTGCCTGTTATTCTCACGTCCAGGAAGACGTCATTGAAGTGATATTGTCTTGCCTACTTGAGAGTTATTCTTTGTTGATTAGAGGTCAAAATATACAACAGTCCAATGACAGGTTGAAGATGTATCACACTATTATATCATTATTCAGTCTGATCTATTTTTGTATTTTCAATGCATACGTGACAGAATGACCCAGCTTATTGTGGGTTTTGTTGAGGGTTGCAACCTGTTCATTGTATCCCAAATCATTCTTAACCTGTGAGATTTTAGCACTTTACTGTGTGACTCAGCAAATAACATTGTGAGATTCAGTAGTTCTCTTGATGAACTGATTTATGCCCATATATATGGAGTACACATCTTGTACACAAGTGCTCATTCTGGACGTGATGGTTGTCAGAGTTGTACGTTAGGTGTCTCCCAGTTTTCACAAACACACATGGAGCACATTTGGAGCACAACCTATTATTTCCATATTTTCAGTACGTGTGTGAATGTAAATATGTGTTCATCCACAGGTAGTGCTATTGTGTATCCAGGCCCGCCGTGATGTTGCTGGAATATTGCTAAAAGTGGCGTAAAACCAAACTCAGTCAGTCAGTGTAACCAGTCTCTATCACGCTCTGACTGATTAAACGCCAATAGTTCAACATGCCAGACAGTTGTAGGGATTTTATGAGTACCATCAGTATCTGGGTTGACAGATGTTGAGATAGCAGAATCTTAAACAAGCTATAGTTCAGTCCACTTACGAAACAGTGAGTGATGTTTCTCGTCAAGAGAAGGAAACAGGTGCTTGATCATCTTGGTTCTTATAAATTATACTAGGAAACACTGCCAGAGGCTGCTAGGACATTGTATTGTCTGTGTCATTAGTTTACTGTGGCCATGTCGATTGTCAAGAACAGTAACAAATATGTCCTCCATACGTAAAGTAAACTTCCAGTATTTTCCTCTTTTTGAATAACACTTGCTAATATTTCATAAATATTCACAAAATTCTGCCATCTTGACTACAGTCATTTCCTGAAAATTTGCAGACACCAGGTTCCTAGGTCACTGTTGTCATAGTAACAGGACTCATTGTGCCGTTGTCAGCGCAGAGGCGTCTTGTATGAGTGGGTTTATCGTCCTGGTTACCAGGGTATTCCGGTCTGAAGGGTCACTGTCATGGTATAGTTGAAGTTTTCATGTTAATATTTCATGTTGAATTTATGTACTGACTAATGAGCACTTTTCAAAATGTTGTTGATGTTTTAACATTTTTAGCCAGTACTTTGTACATACATTAAAGGTTCTGTTCCACTGTTTTATTTGCATCATATTGCATGTGTTCATTTCATTTGTGTTCCTTGAAAACTGTTGTTTTTTTAAACTTGTAAACTACTTGAGGATACAGTTTGCTTTTACCCAGTACTGCAAGTTGGAAAGCTGAAATGTTTTTAAGTTTAGAATTAATGTTAAATTTGATTCTGAGTTGTTATTGTGTGCTAATGAACATGTCAAGCTGCTGCCAGAAGTACTTTGTTTATTGACAGCAGTATTTCTTGAAAATTCTACAGCAAATTAAATACAAGACTTAACTATACATCCACAGTAGATATGAATTTAATACTGTGTTGAACCAGATCAACAATACATACAGGATATATTCAGTGAGTATTTCTGAATAAAATATCTTTATTATAGTTGCATGTATAGGGCAGTTCCTTTTTCAAAGTAACGTTCTATCAGTATTTTACCAGAACATTTGTTTCATTCATTGTGTGAGGACTGACGCCATACGTGTGTTGTTGAAGCAGGGGCCTCTAGTCGGTGTTATTCCAGTATATGACTGTTGTAAGGGTGAACACAGTGTGCATGAACATTGCAGTATTTATTTGTCTCCGTATCCTCCCATATTATCTCCATACTCAGTTGTGTCTAGTTATAGAACAGTAGTTATCTAACTTATCTATTTAAGACACTTTCACAACTCATAAGATGAGTGCAGTCTTGTAGTCTCCTGGTGGAGGTGCAGCGGCATGATCAGTTCAAATGTTTGTCAAAAATTATTCCTTTAAATGTTGATAGAAAACAATTTCCTGTACACATTCAGTCGTTTCTGACTGATGACTGTATATTGTTGGATGTTTTGTGTACATGTTTGATCTCACCACAGGGACATTTTGTTCCCCATCATAAGGATAACCAGATCTCTCTAGACTTCCTGTCTGGCAAGGCTGTGTGCCATTACTTTCATATGTGGACACTGATTCTCATCACAAGCTGTCTTGTCAAACTTGTTTCTGGCTTGGTATTACTATTACAAGCAATCGTTAAGCTGGGTTATAGCATTTTGTGTCTTGGATATGGAAGTGGGGTATGTGTGTTGCTCCTGGACATTCAGTTGTGTGTGCTACCCAGCAGTGTGTTTGTGGAGGACAGATGGCCCACTGATCAACACCAATGTAACTGTCCGAGGTTATTGCTTTGTCAAGTTGGCAGTTAGTGTTTGAGGCTTTGATTCAACTGAGGTGTTGGGGAAAATCTGTGTTATCTCCCTTTGGCTCCCTAACCTTCAGATGATGTTCCGTTCAAAAGTTGGATTAGGTTGTGTGTTACTTCATTTGTTTCACTAATTTCACATTTTCTTTTAACAAAATAGGGCAAATGTGCATTTGAAAAAGTTCTTTTGCACTTCACAGGTGCAGCAATCTCATAGTTATCTACACAACCCTGTCAAGTGTTTTAGTCATACAAGGTTTACTATTTACATGAATTATTGGTATCCTTTTGAAAAGGTCACACCCATTTAGGTTATTCTTTTGGCCAGTTTGTCAGGAAACTGCATGTGCTGCAGAAGTGAATGTAATGAGACTCCAGGAATGCTTTTACTGCCAGTTGATCTCAGCTACTGGATATTCAGGGGGAGTATTTATTAATGAAACTGTTAGATGAGAACAATGAGGGGGATACAGTTACAAGTTAAGTCGTCTTGGTGGATTGAGAAAGAATATACAGGTTTATTTGTTAAAAAGTACCTGAATTGGTGAGGCCTTGTGAAAGTTACATTCCTCATATTTTACAAGGCAGAACAATGACTTTAAACAATAGTCGGGTTGTTTCACAAACAGTGCTATATTATGGCTACCAGTAAGTACTGTTTCTCAACTTTTCCCATTGACACAGATGTAAGATATTTTTTTACCACAACTGAAACATATTTTCAGTATTGGCATCTTTCCTTCCAAATACGATTAATGGTCTTTTTATCTGTATTTTTACTCTTTGTTATGTTTTCCTGTCTCAGTTTTGCTGAAATACCAACAATATTTTTGAAACAATGTCTGTGACAATGTCATAGAACTCGGTTATCCTAGGTAGTTGAGTGTATCCCTTATTTCTTTTAAATGTTTTGAAGTAACATGTTTTACAGGAATGGAAGAGAGGCAATGTTGTCAGCTATGATGAAATAGATGGCCATCAATACCCTAGTGTCCTGAGCAAGTCATGAGGAGTACCTGTGTTTAGATCCTTGTTTTGATCTGTCATGTTGCTCGGAGGTTGTTTTAATTGTACAGTTTCTCATTTTAATGTTAACCATTGTACATTTGTAAATATCACTATATAAACATGTTGATAATTGAACACTGAGTCGTGTGTGCTTTGTGAACCAGATCGCAGCAGAATGGAGTTGAATCCATGTACCATGATGCTTTGGTAAGTACTGCATTCTGATTGGTTGGCAATACTGAATCTCTGAGTCAGTTTCTGACTTGTCATCTAGAAAGGTAACAAAGGGCACGTGATCTCGTTTAGCCCTACCAGAATCCTGTTTGTGTTTGAATCCAAGGTTGACCTGGTTATCATTTCTGGTTTGTCAGCACCAGACCTGTTTGTAGACTCTCCCCCCCACCCCCATATAAAGGTCAGACCTGCGTGTGTAGCCTTTCCCTCCCATGTAAAGGTCAGACCTGTGTTTGTGGACTTCCCCATGTAAAGGTCAGACCTATGTGTGTGGACTTTTCCCCCATGTAAAGGTCAGACCTGCGTGTGTAGCCTTTCCCTCCCATGTAAGGGTCAGACCTGTGTTTGTGGACTTCCCCCATGTAAAGGTCAGACCTGTTTGTGGACTTTCCCCCATGTAAAGGTCAGACCTGTGTTTGTGGACTTCCCCCATGTAAGGGTCAGACCTGTGTTTGTGGACTTTCCCCCATGTAAGGGTCAGACCTGTGTTTGTGTGACTTTTTGTGGCCCCCCATGTAAGGGTCAGACCTGTGTTTGTGGCCTTTCCCCATGTAAAGGTCAGACCTGTGTTTGTGGCCTTTCCCCATGTAAAGGTCAGACCTGTGTTTGTGGTCTTTTCCCCATGTAAGGGTCAGACCTGTGTTTGTGGCCTTTCCCCATGTAAAGGTCAGACCTGTGTTTGTGTGGCCTTTCCCCCCATGTAAAGGTCAGACCTGTGTTTGTGGCCTTTCCCCCCATGTAAAGGTCAGACCTGTGTTTGTGGCCTTTCCCCCATGTAAAGGTCAGACCTGTGTTTGTGGCCTTTCCCCCATGTAAAGATCAGACCTGTGTTTGTGGACTTTCCCCCATGTAAAGGTCAGACCTGTGTTTGTGGCCTTTCCCCATGTAAAGATCAGACCTGTGTTTGTGGACCCCCCATGTAAAGGTCAGACCTGTGTTTGTGGCCTTTCCCCCATGTAAAGATCAGACCTGTGTTTGTGGACTTTACCCCCATGTAAAGGTCAGACCTGTGTTTGTGGACTTTCCCCCATGTAAAGATCAGACCTGTGTTTGTGGACTTTCCCCCATGTAAAGGTCAGACCTGTGTTTGTGGCCTTTCCCCCATGTAAAGGTCAGACCTGTGTTTGTGGACTTTTCCCCCATGTAAAGGTCAGACCTGTGTTTGTGGCCTTTCCCCCATGTAAAGGTCAGACCTGTGTTTGTGGCCTTTCCCCATGTAAGGGTCAGACCTGTGTTTGTGGCCTTTCCCATGTAAAGGTCAGACCTGTGTTTGTGGCCTTTCCCCATGTAAAGATCAGACCTGTGTTTGTGGCCTTTCCCCCATGTAAAGGTCAGACCTGTGTTTGTGGCCTTTCCCCATGTAACCTGTGTTTGTGGCCTTTCCCCATGTAAAGGTCAGACCTGTGTTTGTGGCCTTTTCCCCATGTAAAGGTCAGACCTGTGTTTGTGGCCTTTCCCCCATGTAAAGATCAGACCTGTGTTTGTGGACTTTCCCCATGTAAAGGTCAGACCTGTGTTTGTGGCTTTTCCCCCATGTAAAGGTCAGACCTGTGTTTGTGGTCTTTTCCCCATGTAAAGGTCAGACCTGTGTTTGTGGACTTTCTTTCCCCATGTAAAGGTCAGACCTGTGTTTGTGGCCTTTTCCCCATGTAAAGGTCAGACCTGTGTTTGTGGCCTTTCCCCATGTAAAGGTCAGACCTGTGTTTGTGGCCTTTCCCCCATGTAAAGGTCAGACCTGTGTTTGTGGCCTTTCCCCCATGTAAAGAGTCAGACCTGTGTTTGTGGCCTTTCCCCATGTAAAGGTCAGACCTGTGTTTGTGGCCTTTCCCCATGTAAAGATCAGACCTGTGTTTGTGGCCTTTCCCCATGTAAAGGTCAGACCTGTGTTTGTGGCCTTTCCCCCATGTAAAGATCAGACCTGTGTTTGTGGCCTTTCCCCCTTCCCCCATGTAAAGGTCAGACCTGTGTTTGTGGCCTTTTCCCCATGTAAAGGTCAGACCTGTGTTTGTGGCCTTTCCCCATGTAAAGATCAGACCTGTGTTTGTGGCCTTTTTCCCCATGTAAAGATCAGACCTGTGTTTGTGGCCTTTCCCCCATGTAAAGATCAGACCTGTGTTTGTGGCATTTCCCCCATGTAAAGGTCAGACCAGTGTTTGTGGCCTTTCCCCCATGTAAAGATCAGACCTGTGTTTGTGGACTTTCCCCCATGTAAAGGTCAGACCTGTGTTTGTGGCCTTTTCCCCATGTAAAGGTCAGACCTGTGTTTGTGGCCTTTCCCCATGTAAAGGTCAGACCTGTGTTTGTGGACTTTCCCCCATGTAAAGGTCAGACCTGTGTTTGTGGCATTTCCCCATGTAAAGGTCAGACCTGTAAAGAGTCAGACCTGTGTTTGTGGACTTTCCCCCATGTAAAGGTCAGACCTGTGTTTGTGGCCTTTCCCCCATGTAAAGGTCAGACCTGTGTTTGTGGCCTTTCCCCATGTAAAGGTCAGACCTGTGTTTGTGGACTTTCCCCCATGTAAAGGTCAGACCTGTGTTTGTGGCATTTCCCCCATGTAAAGGTCAGACCTGTGTTTGTGGTCTTTTCCCCCATGTAAAGGTCAGACCAGTGTTTGTGGCCTTTCCCCATGTAAAGGTCAGACCAGTGTTTGTGGCCTTCCATGTAACCCAGACCAGTGTTTGTGGCCCCACCCCAAGGTAAAAGGTCAGACCTGTGTTCATGGGCTTTCCCTCCTTCTTTCTAAACCAAACACACACACACACACACACACACACACACACACACGCACACACACACACCCCAAATTGAGCAATTTTCAAATACTTCCTCTAAACAAATCAGTTGTTTCTATAATTTATTTCAAATTGACAAAATATACATTATTTCCATTCCTGTTCCTATGTACAATATACATTATTTACAACTGTATAATATACTGGATTGAGACAACTGTACCTTGGACCAGCGAGAGGTCTGTCAACAAATGTACCAGCATTCACAAAGTGTGAATAAATAATCAACATAGATCAGCAGACTGGGGTAATCTCGCTTGTGCAGTGGGAAAAGATTGGTTCCTTTCATACAATTCTGCGTTCTGCAAGATTCTGTTGGTTCCATACAATTTTATGTTTGTTCTCTATGATTCCATACTCTTTCCATAGGATTCCATGCATGTTCCATAAGTTCCCTTGTTTGTGTTTTGTCATTCCATTTTGCTTCAATACAATTCCATGTTAATTATGGTTGGTTCCATACAATTCCATGTGGTCAACAAGGATGTCTTCTCTCGTGTGTGCCAAAACGCCTCTAAAGTACCAAGACTCTTTGACACATGAAAATACCAATACTAAATACTTTGGATTTGGTGCAAAATATTTTGTGAGCATAAAAATATTCAAAAACATCATCACATTGAGACAGTAAGAAAAGAGTATTATAGCTCATTTTGAAACTCTCTTAATTTTTGTACAAATCAGATAAATTTCTGTAAATGTAGGATACAAACTGCTACTGTAAATATCTCTAAACAATGATCCAGTTTGTAAAACAAAGCCCTAACTAGGAAATAACAATTCATTGATAAAACAGGTTTGAGAAATCCACTCCAAACAATATTTCAGTGTCACTGTCGTTTATCAAGTCATTGCAATGAGGCATGAGAGTCATCAGTCAGTGTAAACTACGCCCAGCCTTTAGAACACAAGTTAAATAAGATGGGATAGGGGTATGCATCTATTGATTCAATAAAGTCCAAAAACAGATAACTAATGACCCGAAAAACCTAAACCAGCTTCAGGAATAAAACTATCTTGTAATGTTCAAAACCTGTACTGAGACAGCCACACAAATGGCTTGTGACCTCCAAACCTAAACTGGCAAGAGACAAATAGTTTGTGACCTCAAGAACCTAAACCGGCAAAAGAAATAGAAACATCTTATGACCTCCAGAACGTACACTGGCTGGAGTTATACAAATCAGTATTAGTGATTAAATTGTCCTGTTCACCGGAGACGAGAAAGCCTTCCCTACCACGAAAAAAGATATTGTTTTAATATCTCTGGTCTTCTAGAATCTGGCACGGCACGACGGTGGTGCACTAATGCTGTTGGACAGCTTTGGTCTTCGTTAATGCTGAACTCTCTCTCTCTCTATGCTTGTAAAACATGTCTCTTTCTTTGCTCCAATCTGAAAAATAAATTAGACGTAATGTAAATATTGTTTTTGCAGAAATGAATTGCTTCCAGTCCATTGCTCTGCATTCAGGGGGTCTGCCTCCGTGGTGTAGTGGTTAGAGCGTCCGCCCGGAGAGCGGAAGGTCGCGGGTTCGATCCCCGACCGCGTCACACCAAAAGACGTTAACATATAGTACTTGTTGGTCCCTGCCTGGCGCTCGGCATTAATGGGTACAACAAGGACTGGTCGGCTCGAAGTCAGTGTAATGTGTCTGAGTGGGGTATTCATGCTTCACTGTGGCATGGTATCTCAGTGGGCTAGCACTATAAAACCAGCTTCAGTCTGGGCTAGTACAAGCAGCCGCACATACACATACACACGCATGCACGGCGTCATATGAGCGAAATATTCTCAAGCACGACGTAAAACCCAATTTCACCTCACCTCACCTTCATTCAGGGGAAGACATTGTAAAACAATATATGAAAACAATACATGGTAAAGTGGGGAGTCTACCACTCTGATACATAAAAGGGATAATTAATTCTTACGAGGTGATTTTTGGTTCTGTTTTCGATGACAGGGCAAATTTGTCTGTATATTCAGAGAACTCCGGCCACTGGTTTATCCTGCGAGAAATGTGAGCCTGTTTGTGCTGGCGAATCATCTCGTAGTCAGCGAATGTTTTAGGCTGAATGTCCTCAAGAATGACTGTGCGGTTCAATGGAAGACTGGCCCCAAACCAGGTAGTCATGTCTGCAACACAAAGTTTACCATCACTATCATTCAGGGAGGGAGTGTCATCGTAAAGGAGGGGGAGCATTTTGGGATTTGATCATTTGCATTTGGTAATTTTATTAAAATTGAGTTATCGTGTTGTACATTTCTATAATCAATCAATCAATCTTTATTTCTTCTAGTGGACGCCACAGGCCCATTCTACATTTACAATTGACTATGAGAGAGTATATACAATATACAATATGAACAATAACATACGGTTCGGTTATGTTACAATATGTACAAATGACTGTCTAAGACGCATATAGCTTTATATACATACACTGCTAAATTTTTTAAGTTTCTGGATTTATCTCTGACATTAACATGTTAAAGTTATGTACAGTAGGATTCAAATAATATTTCTTTGGTAAAAGTAAAGACCTTAGATCTTGGTATACATTACATACTAATAAAAAATGGTATTCATCTTCAATATATCGATCTTTGCATACAAGACATAATCTATCAACTTTAGTTTCATTAGCTTATCTGCCAGTTTCAATTCGAAGCCGGTGTGAAATACATCTGAATTGGGCAAACGCAGCCCTGAATATAAAATATTCCACTGTCACCAATAAATGTCTGCAATTTATCAAAGTTTACTACATGAAGGTTGAATGTGTGTCCTCTTACCCAACCCAGTTCCCATCTGACTTTCTACCATCCCTTGTGATAGTTTCAAACATTGGTTTTAATGAGTTAATAATTAAGTCATCAACCCTTACTTGGATTTCGCTGTGAGTAGTACCCGTCTCCTGGTCGTCCATAGCTCATAATCACTCGACCTGGCTGGTTAGTTGGGGGGCGCTTGTACATATCTATCTTTGTAAAGCGCTGGGAGTCCTCGCCATCAAAATGTCCAAACGTCCGTGACCCTGGGGAAAACGTTAAGTAATTACCTGGACATGTAGTCATCAGTAGTCCAGATCGTTTTATGAAAGAAAGATGGACCACATCTAATGGTACTACTAATTAGTTGTGAGTGAGTGAATGTCATAGTCCAGACATCAGTATTTTCACAGTATTCATCAAATTTACAAAATGTCCTGGATATTTTTATCCCTTTTCCAGTTTGTCACTAGAACATATACCTGTTTTCTCTGGCCCCCATCTTAGCGATGCCCCCAGCCGTGCAGTATTGTGATCTGCAGGGGGAAAGCGGTTGTACTTCTCCCCGATCCAACACACGGGGTGAGACAGACTTAGTCCCCTGTACAGGTGCTGGTTGGTGCTGGTAGCGGTTCTGTCAATCACATACCGCTTGTTGGGGTCCCAGTTTCGGGTGTGTTGATCAGCTGCTTTGTTTGTGTGGAAAAATGCTGCTGGGTTCTGAAAAGAATTAACAATAACAACAATAATAATGGTAATAAGAATAAAGTAAACACATCCATAGATAAGAACTTTGTACTTCTAAGAACTCAATGACTGACATGTTCTACTTACCTGTTTTATATTTTTAATCTGTGTTTCTGTGAGGACTGTGTACTGGTCCCGCGCAGTCCGAGGACGTTTCGTAATCATGTCCGTTCCCAGATCGGCCATGTCGATATGTCTGTAAAACAAAACACCAGAGTCATCAACCAGATCCTCTGTATAGAACTAACTGACTAACTGAGTTTGGTTTACCCCGCTTTTAGCAATATTCCAGCAACATCAACTGAAAAGGACTTCACACATTGTACCCATGTGGGGATTCAAACCGGGTCTTCGCGGACGAGCCAACGCTTTAACCACTAGGCTACCCCACTGCCCCCCTCTGTATAGAAGACATGGAATCGAAGTGGTCTACTTGTAACACTTCGCCATTATCAGGAAGTGAACACCTCTACAGATGAAGACACTGAACATTATACAGTATTTAATAAAGACATAGGTGTTAATGACTGAAGGATGTTATTATTTTGAGGTATTTTGAAAGGTGAAGATAATGTGCATTAAGGTGGGTGGTTTAAATGGGTATTGCCTGATATATTCTTATATAATTAATAACCTTGTTACCTAACTCTAAAATAATTATTTGTATGATTTCTAAGGCTTATTCATCGTATACTGTGAAATATGAAGCATTCTTTATTTCACTGCACTGATGCATAATCCATAGCTGGTCTTTCAATCTTTCAAGGAAATTGAAAATATACCTATATTGACGACATAGAATTGATTTGTTCATACATGTATGTAAAAAAAATTATTGGTTGGATGGATTCTAAGTTTATAAGGAATTTTTTGACAAATAAAATAGTTTTTTATAATTTATTTCTTTGAGGTTTATGTTGTTCATTTTGTTGTTTCTTTTTGTTGTTGTTTTGTTTTGGAGGGGGATGTCAAACAATCAGTTGTGAATGAAAGAATATATATATTATATATTTCACATCAGAATCAAGCATTTTGCTTCCAACTATGTACAGAAAGAGAAATGGAGGATTTTCTATATTATGTTTGTTTTCATTTAAAATTATTTTAACTGAGAAGTAATTTGGAAAGTTAATGCATATTTATTGACCTAACGGTAAATTAATTCGTTGCAATTGAAGAGTATACGTGTTAAAAAATCATATTTTTACACTCGCATATGAGATGCAGTTAGCTTCTGCTCAGTCGAAAATATATGACATTTTAAAACATGACAAATAGATTCTTGACTCTTGGGATTGAACATAAGGCTATCGGATCCTCTACAATACTCAAGAACCACCGGCAACATTGTTTAACGACCAGCAGGTGCCCGTTCCCGACCAAATCCAACTTAACGGTTGCCGAGATCGAACACTTACGCGTGTCATATTTTGTTACTAATGACCCACCTCTCAGTTCCACTGTCAGAATATGTGAGTGTGAACAGGCCTTATCTTGATTATCGTCTACTGTGCTCCTGTCAACATGTGAAACAGGAAATAGAAAAGTGACAACCAAGATGGCGACCGTTGCTACAACTGTCGTAAAAAGACCGTGGCAACGGACTTATTTTCCTCTTATATTTGTAACATATAATATAACTATTACAGAAAAGCTAATGATCTATGTTCGAATGTATTTATATTTGATTTGTGAAGGTTTATGACAGGAAAATACTCCAAATCATAATATCCGCACAACTATATATACATATCTGTGAAAATACATGACGTCTGTTGATGAGTTATTGTTTGGATTTCCGAGCACTATTACACCCTTGGCACCACGTGGGACCAGCCTTCAGAGAGGCACCAAATTAAATTAACGGAACACTGTCTAGGGAAAACGAAAATATGACCTGGCCAAAATAACGCCTCAATAGTGTTTTGTATGTTCTGCCACATAAAGATAAGAAACTTGAGATGTGGTATGTATAGCTTCGTTTGCGCTAGATTTGTTCAAGGCAAGGCAACATTGGTGTCAATCTGGCCTGATCTGATACCTGATTTTCCAGTGTGTTTAATGAGCAGATGAGTGGAAACACTCGCTCACATAATCTAGCTGATTACTGTCGCCGATATATTCGTGCGTGCGTTTCATGTCCCATGCGAATGTGAACTACACGAAGCAATTGATTATAAGACGATTACATGGAGTATATGGATGACAACCTTATGTTTATTGTAAAACACGATGTTTCTGGGCTACTTCTTGACCTTCTTCAGGTGATTGAAGCAATTGTTGATTAAATTGGTTCTGTGTCGAATTCTTTATATACTTTCTGTATGATTAATAAAGGTTCCTAAGTTTAAAAAAACAAAATCGACAGAGAGAGAGAGGTGGGGGAGGAAGGGAGGGAGAGCGAGTGTGTGTAATAGCTATTTTGAAGCTGTCATGGATTATCCAAAGAAGTGATCTACTTGGGAGAATGTCGTATACCAGCACACGTGCATGTATAATTGGTCGGTGTCAAAATACACGACCAAATAACAATCAAATATCAGAGATCGTTTTCAAACACTCATGACACCTTACACTGACATTTCTTTCATAAGGCAGACAAAATCGCTACCTGCTTCTTCCGAACAAACTGTTAATACATAATTCGTCTGAGGTAAATAGCATATGACATTAACCGGAAACTTGCGGAATTCCCCGACCCGGCGGACATGCGCAATAGGCTTCATGTGTCTTTTCCGCGAAATTTTCACTTGCATGTCCTCGAAGGAAAGAGAGGGCGAAATCACAGGTGAGTTTCGATTTTGTGGATTGTGTGACCACAGTCGAAGATCCAAGTCGTACGTTGATGTTTGCATGTGCGTATCGGGTAAATGTATCTGGATGATCCGATTGGTATCCATTTCTGTAACTGTCAGGGACGATTTGCAAACTTGTCAGAATAAACAACGTGTGGCAATTCTAAACAGACGAAGTGTCAACAAGAAGATTGATGACAGCGCACTCGCATCGCCTTATCAAATACTGTCTCCTTTCTCTCCATGAATACTTCAAGATTTCAGTTAGAATGACCATTTGATAGCTGGTTTTGCCTTAATTAATCAAAACAAGGATTACCTGGTGCCAAAGTGTTCCGAAGGTCACCTAATTTCGTGGCAATTTTCAATTTAAATCTATTTTAGTCGAACCACATGGGAGAAGGTATGAAAGTCATCATACGTTACCACATAAATTTCTAAACCACAATAATAATTTCCCTAATAAAATACAGATGCCATATGCATATATTAACCATGTGGCCAGCATGTCTTACAACCAGATCAGAGTCCAAGTAAATACATGCCGCGTGAACATGAATGAAGTCGCCAAAACAGTAAAATTGGCCTTCTCATCTGCATTGCAAATTCTGATTATATGTCAGAAGAGCTGGCAGTTAGTTCCCCAGTGTTTTAAGCTGAGGAAACAAGATGTAGTAGAAGCTTATTACAGAATTTGCACTGTCCCCATATTTGTTTTCCATTTTAAAGGACACTTTACTTCCATGATGAGTGAGGCAGTTTAGTCCTGCTGTCTACACATGGGGCATATGGCTAGAACTGATTTTGGTGAAGTGTGGTCTGACCAGCATCGGCCAGCGGATCTGTGACCATGTCTTGTGGTTCATTCTCTTCCCATGGAGATTACTTGTCACATCTTCCTACGAACCTCTCTTCTAATACGGCCATATTTCCCAGTTCTCGTAAAATCCCCTAGCAGCAAAAATCGCAACACAAATTATCTCCCTTCTTCCTATCCAATCGAAACACATTTTACAACGATTTAGATCCAACTTGACAAATACAAGCAAATGTGGGGCCACAAATATCCCTCCTCAGACGGGGACTTGTGTTGATGTGACGCACAAGACATTTAATGGCCATCTTGTCTGTTGTCAACGAGGGCAATGAAGATGCCATTGTGTCGCCATTACATGACTGAGTTCTGTCTAGAAGAAACATTTGCGTATCGCGCAGGGGAAGAGGTTTAGTTTTCCTGAAGCATACAGAAATTACCGAGGCCTTGCGAATGATCACTTTTGAAACAACGTTGCTAATCGCACGACTAAATCTGATCGCAACCAATCCTGAATACTCGCACCATGAAAGGGTCGTATTAGAACAGAGGTTCGTAGGAAGATGCGACATGTAACCTCTGTGGGAAGAGAATGTGTCTTACCCTGCTGGACTCGATTATTAATTCAACACTATGCAAAGTAATTACTATTTTTTCAGACATCACAATGAATGGGTCTACAGCAAATCATGTGAATGGAGACGTGCATCTTTCGGAGAGGATTGCCATTCTGGATGCTGGAGCTCAGTATGGAAAAGTGAGACTTTTTGATTGATGGAATTAAAGTATGATGCATGTACAAGATGAGACTATAGTTGATAATAAGTCACCTAACTGGTGCAGGTGTTGCAAACCATTTCAATAAAGCTGTACAGACAGAATGCTGTTTTAATCTTCCTTGGTGGAATTCTGGGTCAGAAGCAACCAATGGTGGTCGTAGTAGTTCAATAAACAGGGATGTATTTTCATATGCTTAGCTGGCTATGTATTTCATAGCTTTCGGCCATGGGAGCCGTGCCAATTAACACTTATCAGAGGGGTACACAGAGTCCGCAGTCTAGACTACCAGTTGTCTGACTTCCATTTTTGTGGAAGCCGTGGTAGCTGAGCGGTCTAGGCGTCTGACTTTGTGTGCTGGCGATTAGGTGCCTGACTTTGAGTGCTGGCGATTAGGTGCCTGACTCTGAGGGTGTGGGTTCGAATCCAATTGTAATTACATTTTTCCCAATTTATGACACATGGTAGTGACTGATGTTAAGACCATGTCCCTTTATTGTTCAAAGTAATGATTGTTTCCCAAATAGCCTGCTAAGGGCACATAGTTTGGAATACTGGATATTTGTCGGAGTAATGGTTTAAGTGGTTTGCTGCGCATAATATCAGTCACTAGATTGTGTAGTCAGGACAGGGTGTCATCATATCATGCATATTGGTGGATCATTTCTTTGTGCATTGTTGTAAAGAAAAACGTTTCATAATGACCATTTCTTCCAGGTGATTGACAGAAAAGTTCGGGAGTTGAATGTAGAATCCGATATTCTTCCTCTGGATACTCCAGCGTTCTCAATAAAAGAAAAGGGCTACAAGTGAGTTGATGGTGTTGCAATAAAGATGTGTATGATTTATGTTGTATTGTTGTATAGATAGTAGGGTTGCTGAGTGTTGACCCTTCACACCAACGACCTGGGTTCATCTCCCCACAAGGGTACACTCTGTTAATCCATGCCCGTACCTGTCATATTGCAAGAATACTGCTACAAGCAGCTTAAGATCTATTACTGTTTATTATTATGCAAGAGCAACAATAATATTGCTGATATGAATCTGTAGGTCTGGAGTCAATGGTGTTACAAGGTTCAAAGATACTGATTAGATAAAGATTTTAAGTAGCTATACCACATGATTGTTTTCATATTACAGATAACTGATTATAAATAACATTGTCTGATAGCTGGCATTCTACTGATTTCAGATAACTTTTTCTTTTAAAAATCAGACCATAAATACATATTTTAGAGGCAAATAAAGTGTCAAAATTCGGGGTCCAGGTTTGGATCGATTTTGTACATGTAATACTGTAAACGTATTATATTTCTCAAGAGGTTTTATTTTTCGCTTTTACAGCGAAAACATTTTAGCCGAAAATTTATACACACCGCTAATAAACCTATCATTCATTCAGTCTAAGCCACGCCCTAAGTTGTTACCATAACACATCACGTTTGAAGACAGAAATCAACGGGAATCTTAAAATGACGACTGATCATACTTAACTGTCGCTGTAATGGATTTCCCAAAACATAATGAAATAATGAGCCAAATCCAATTGCCGATTTAGCGAAAACAGCAATATGTGTTGTGGCTGCCATGGAAATTGGTCACATGACAGATGGTTTGATACAAAACAGATTACCGTGAAACGACTCGAAAGAAATAATACAGCAGTATTTTATTTATTCATTAAGATTTTATTCACCAGTACATCATGAAGCTTAATAGTCACTAACACTCAATCATCTCTATTCACAACAACCCGCTTGTTTGAAATCACAAAGAGCTTCATATACAGTATAAGTTAATTCGTCAAATCGCCAGAGTTCGAACATAAGACTGATGTGTTTTTCATCTCTTCCGGGAGTAAACGGATTACGTGTACTAGTATATCGCACAGATAGGGATTTCCTGTGAGTAAGCAATAAACGCCGCCTGACAGGTTAAGCCACTCTGTTTGTTTTCACTGCTATTAGTGGCGGCCAAAGAGACAGCTGGCAGTTCTGGCAATTACTGATTGCGCGAATAATTGACCGCTCGATGTAGTCTGAACTGTCAATTCCGTGAAAATTGCACCACGCGAAAATAAGTACGTTTACAGTACTTGAAACTCGCAGACCGCCGTTTTCGCCCAAAATATCTTAATTTTCCCTCAACATTGCTGTTTTTTGGTGTATTTAAACAAAATTTAGTACATGGGGTAATTGGATACCCCTGATTTCATTTTTGGCATCAGAATTCACATAAATCTAATGGATTAAGAGTTATTTCAGAGATTCAAGCAAAGAATTGAATGAATAGTGAGTGCCCAAGTAATATGGACCATGACTCCATGGGAAGATCACTCCTAAATATCATTACATAAACAGCAAACACTCATACTTTTCAAACATTTTTATGCCCCCGCCATATATGGCTGGGGGCATATAGGGTTACCCTCCGTGTCCGCTCCGCTCTGTGGAATTCAATGAACTTATACATGGGGTTTTCTTGGGACTCTAATGGTGTGCATCTCATATTTTGTAAGTTTTTTTGTAAGTTTAGAGACATTTGAACTTAGGTACATTTTGCTGAATTTCTCTATGATGATAGTGTAATAGGGGATGAAGTCTATCCACTTCTCCACAAAAACTGCTCAACCGAATTGAATGAACTTCTACATGTCTTTCGAAGGGACTCTAAACGTGTGCATTTCAAATTTTTTTATGCAATTTCTTAATTCTGTCACTGTTACAGATGTTTGAACTTAGTTGAATTTTGTTCTATTCAGCCTGTTCGTTCCATCCAACAGGGGGGGTGTATGTTATCCACTTCTCCTCAAAACTACTTTATGGAATTCACTTAGATTACACATGTGCTTTATAGGGACTCTCAAGGCATGCATCTCATATTTTGATTTTGTATTTTATAGTTTTTTTGTATGTTTAGAGACATTTGAACTTAGATAAATTTTGTTGAATTTCTCTCTGATGATAGTGAAATAGGGGATTATGTCTATCCATTTCTCCACAAAAACTGCTCAACAAAATTGATTAAGCTTTTACATGTGTTTCATTGGGATTCGAAAGGTGTGCATCTCATAGTTGCATAGATGTTTATTGAACTTGTTCGTGAATTTTGTTCAATTATCATATAAAGATCAATAATTGAACAAAATTCACGAACAAGTTCAATAAACATCTATGCAACTCACCAGAGCACACTCAGTGTAGGGAACTCTTCCTACAGCAGCGGGGGCATCCGTGTCCCTGGACACAAATTTTTCTTGTTATTCTTGATGTACTCATTAAACATGACCAATGTAAACTTGACAGATAGCAATATCACAGTCAAGACATATGAATATTTAAATGAATTATTTTAACTGACATAAGTAGAAATTTCATTGTCCATACAAAAATCAAATGCATCACACAAAAATTGTCTGTCTCACCTTGAATACAATAGGCTGCAATACCCGTGAAGGGCCGGGTTAGAATGTACCTTCAGTAACCCATGCTTGTCGTACGAGGCGACTAAGGGCATGGGGTGGTCAGGCTCGCTGGCTTGGTTGACACATGTCATTGGTTCCCAATTGCGCAGATCGATCCTCATGCTGTTGATCACTGGATTGTCTGGTCCAGACTTTATTATTTACAGACCGCCGCCATATAGCTGGAATATTGCTGAGTGTGGCGTAAAACTAAACTCACTCACTGTTAGGCTGCAAGGCCCACTGCCTGTTACCTTCAGAAAAGCATACCCTTGAACTTCATGCATGTACAAATGACTTTTTGTCGTGGATAATCAGACAGTGCAAGCACCTGCTTTGAGGTTATTATACTTCTGGACCGCCTCCGTGGTGTAGTGGTTAGAGCGTCCGCCCGGAGAGCAGAAGGTCGCGGGTTCGATCCCCGACCGCGTCATACCAAAAGACGTTAAAATATGGTCCCTGCCTGGCGCTGGGCATTAATGGGTACAACAAGGACTGGTGGGCTCGGAGTCAGTATAATGTGTCTGAGTGGGGTATTCATGCTTCACTGCGGCATGGTATCTCAGTGGGCTAGCACTATAAAACCAGCTTAAGTCTGGGCTAGTACAAGCAGCAGCACATACACATGCATGCACGTCGTCATATGAGCGAAATATTCTCATGTACAACGCTAAACCCAATTTCACTTCACCTCACCTTATTATACTTCTGATGCATCATAATTGTGATGAAATTTTCAGAGCTATCATCATATCTGGTGGCCCAAGTTCTGTGAATGACGATGACGCCCCCCGGTACGATCCTGATATCTTCCATACCGGCCTGCCTGTGCTGGGCATCTGCTATGGTCTTCAGGTAATGTTGCATGAGTAGTGATAATCTCTTGATACCACCTCCCATCGATACAGCCTCTCTGTCTCACTGATACAGACACCCTGTAAGGATTTACACCATCTGTATATACTATTCCTGACAACCATCAATAGAAACTAATTATTCATTTGCAATTTATATTTCGCAGGTTTGTCCCTTTGCTATTTGAATATTGTCACCTTAATCCTCCGGTTTCAGACAAGCAAAGCCTGATTTAGTGCTTTGGTACCAACAATACTGATACTAGCAGAGATCAATGTGTTAGGACATTTTTTCTTATCCTGACTCATGCTAAATGCTTGTCTCCTTCTTCCTGCGAATGATAGTGGAACACTTGAAATCCCTTGAAGTTCCCTTCTAAAATGCGGACGTAAAATCATCACTCACCCACGAGAAGTCTCCCTTGCCTCCTTTGGCGCCCTTTTGGGTCACATGACCAGCCATGTTTGTCACTCTCTCCTTCTTCGCCCTTGAGGACGGTTGTGAGAGCACCTGGGTCCCTATACGGCACATATCCTTTTCTCTTTGGACCTTTACCACCTAATTAATTCAATCACGTGGAACCAACTGGATTGGGTGCGAAAACGGTGCGGGTGATTAAAGCGTCCCGTAAAATCACCAAGCGTGGTGGTTACTTGACAGTCGTGAATAAACAGGTTTCTCGAAAGAAACACCAATTTCCAGGGTCGGTTGTTTACATATGCAAGTTACGTAAAATAATTAATCGCGATTTGAAAAGTGATTTATTTTGGAGGATGTCATGGCTAATTTTAGAAATGTTAAAGTATTCATCTTTGCAGTGAGTTCTGGAACATTTTGAAACTATTATGACCTCTACCGCCATTGCATCTTGCATGAATCAAAAACTTACTTCGCCAAGAGTAATCCTGCAACAACTATAAAGTCATTTGCATATTTTTCCGAAGTGACGTGATTCTGTACCTTCACCTGCAAATACAGCACACGCCTCGCTTCTTAAAAGCGAATGAATTATTGTTATCGTGTATCCAAAATGAATAGAAGTCTCAGATGTTTTGGTTAAAATGATATTACTGATCTCAATTCCTAAATAGTTTTTAATATTTAAACTAGTTTAGATTGTCCTAAGCAAACGCTTTGACAATGGTTTGTATATTGTGATCGTTATTGAACGAGTTGCTACTTATGTGCGACAGAATTGAAGATAAAACATCAGTCAACCGAAAATATATATAAAATGCCAAATGTCAATAAGCCGCTCATAATCCTCCCAATACCGCATAACATTACCTGTCGCTAATAGAGGGGTCCCATGATGCATGTCTCAAGCACCTGAACTGTACATAGTGTCTTGATTTCAGCATTACACAGCTACGAAATCTTACCTGTTCACCTCACAAAATTTCACGTGATTTGTAATCGTGAAAAGTAACCTATCAATTCAATACTAACGTAAAGTTGTCTTTGCTTGTCACAGCGTAAGAGACTCAATGGTGTATTCGAAACTGAATCAAAATGAAGTCACTGTCAGTTTTAGTTGACATCTCGCGCTTAATCAAAGTTAGTGTTAAATCAAAATGCAGCCGCTTTGACTTTTTGACGACAGCTCATGCTGTTGACGCGGTCGATATTGGATCTCTGAGAATACATGTCAGCTTGTGCTCGCATTAGCGTGGTATGCTGTTTTACAGAATACCCTGCAAACGCATGACACTGTTTCAGCCAATCAAATGGAGCCTGAAGCCCTCATGTGTGAGGTGTTATCGGAAGCTTCAGTTTCATCGGCATGCACATGGATTTTGTAAACACATCCCAAAACGTTTTTAATGTGTGAATTAAGGCTATGATACATATCTTTGTGAATATCTTCACTGGTATCAGCGTGCATTATTTCATTTTCAAGACGATTATAGAAAACAGACTTGTAAACCTGGCCCGTAATCATTGGAACCGATATCGATCGTATTGACGGTTCACATATATACGCCATATACACGGCAGGTGTATTTTAATTACTATTATTTGTTTGTGATATATCGCAAACAGATAAACATAACATTTTCAGAAGCATTTATGGAATATTATGCAAACTGTTTCAACCAAATGAGAACGCTACAAAAACCCCTTAAAAGCAAAGTTTCAAAATGGATATTTTTTAGAACCGTGAATATACGATGATGTGATATGGGATGCGCTCTATAACACTTTTTCTGTTGTTTGTAAAATGACACAGAGAAGTTATGAAGAAAACAAACTAATTAGACGCTAATTGTTTATGGAATTCTGAGAGCCGCTGGAAACGGCTCACTGATCACGGGTTTGCTTATTGCAAATTGAGGATGTTTTTCTGCAAACACGGTCCAGGGCCTGATAACCACCCTATGCCCGCTGAAAAATGATTAGTTGACAATGATGATGCACATAAGTAAGTTGTACCTAATGTATGCATTCAGAAATCGCACTTTGTGTCGCCATTATGTCAGTAAGCTCAATGCACGTTAAATCTACAAATTTTAGGAGAAGCATTTGCTGATCCTTTTTCCTTTTGTAATTTATTAATGTTTAATGTATATTACATGTCTTTGTGGAAATATAATACTGTTTAAATCAAATCTACGAATTATCATCATCATCATCTTTGAAAGAAATGTGTATCATGACGCCGGCATTTTATTAACAAGCATCATCCTGAAGATACTATCCCATTCCCCAGCCCCTACAGTATATTAAAATGGTAAGAATATGTTGTTTCTCTTACCCTGTACCTATACAGGTAACTTCGCCAGACGCGAAATATATACACATGCATAAATACGCTTTCACAACAAAACTAACGAAACACGCTATCAGATGAACTTCAGGTAAAATTTGATACTTTTTTTATTTACATATATTCTATGTATTTATGAAACAGAAAAGGTTTTCGCTCCTGGACGCCAGCATGGACAGTGGAAAACAACCAACCCCGGTACAGTCCTGCATGTTGGGTTGGACAGCCTGGAGTCATCTGCAGAATGAAGAAATATATTTATTCCAGGGAGCATCGTGATTATTTGTTATAAAACGAAAATGTATAAACCCTTCACTGAATGTTTTGTATGTATTTGGTATAATTATGAAAATGCATATTTAAAATTCTTCAGTACGGCTACTTGTATTAGTCTTCACATATTTTGACAGAATGCAACACAATTAAATTTCAGTTAGATTACGCAATTGCTCCATCACACACGTGACACTGTTTTCCCGCGAGGATGGATCCGAATAAAGACAAGGCCTAACGCCAACCAGGCATAGTTTATGACTGCAGTTGGATATCGCTGAATATACAGGTGGGAGGCTGGAGACCTGCAACAGGTGTGATGCAATACAGCACGCTATTTCGGGTATATACATATATTGGGCTTGCAGACAGCTTAGCCGGGCTGACAGTCTGGTGGACACGGCGACAGTAATTTCCTGCATAATGGTGCTTTAATGGTCCGTGGTGTAATATTTTATTATCGCTTAAAACACATAATTAACTGCAAATTATTCCATTTCGTGGTTTGTGTTTGGATAAACTGTGAAAGGACACAGACATGTTTATTCAGTTGTGACAAATCTTCAGTTGACATGGAGCTGGGCAAAATCTGCTCATGGAAATGGCATCTTTTGCCAATTGAACCGATCACGTGATGACGATCTCTTCATCAGCCAGATACATCGCCATGATCAGTACCCTCATGATTAATTCAGCAACTCACCTCAAATATTGAAGAGATTACATATTCATGGAGAAAAAAAGGAGAGTAAAATTGTTTGATATGATTACATACTCAAAATTTTGTCTGTAAAACAACTGATAGACGAATTTATAACATTATGGATATTGTTATTGTGTTTTGCATATATAGTGTTATATTTTGGTAAGGAGGAGTTATTCTTGTACTTCAAGACTAATCTTCAAGAGTATTTGAAGATGCTAAAGCCCTTGTGAACACTGTCATCGGCTTTTCTCTTTAGTTTAAACATATTTTATTTCGAACACAAGAAATGAGGATCGGTGAACAAGCTTCAATCACGGGCTTATGCAAACACCTATCCCGTACAACACAGAGAGAAGAAAATATAATTTTGGTGACATCATAAAATAATCTTTGAGTGTTGTTGGCAGGGTGTAATCAATATAGCAATTACAATGCCGTGATATTCTCTCTTTTTATTTTGGTAGATGCATTGCACATATACGCACATCTGTTAAATGTCGCTTTTTAGTTTCTGTGTTATATGTATTTCTATACTAAATGTGTTTATGATGACAATGATATAAACATTAGGAAATAGATAACGTAGTCCACTGAATTTTTACTTACCACTTGTTGTATCACTGATTGAGCCAGCATATTGCGACCGGGTCAGCCCGGTGTCACGTGATCTATTTGCATACGCTTGCTCTCTCACGCCGAAGAGCTGTCAGTTCAAATGGATATGTTTCAACACGATGACACACCCATGTGCCGCTCGCAGGTACCTGAAAAAGTACTTTACACGAGGCAAATCTCCATTGAAGGAGCTTTCAGAAAATATTAAAATCATATTTGTGTGAAATTGGCACATAGGTCCAAATTGTCGTATAAAACTGGCTACTTTTGCTCGTGATTCTGAGAGGCGTCTCTCGTACGCGTAACGGATCTGTGAGGAAGGTTTGTTTGTCTGTGACGAGCAGTGGGAGGATGGTAGACATGTTTCAACACGATGACACACCCATGTGCGTTCGTGTACCTGAAAAAGTACTTACACGAGGCAAATCTCCATTGAAGGAGCTTTCAGAAAATATTAAAATCATATTTGTGTGAAATTGGCACATAGGTCCAAATTGTCGTATAAAACTGGCTACTTTTGCTCGTGATTCTGAGAGGCGCCTCTCAGATGCTGCATCGGATCTGTGAGGAAGGTTTGTTTGTCTGTGACGAGCAGTGGGAGGATGGTAGACATGTTTCAACACGATGACACACCCATGT